TGAGGGTGTCTGCCTCCCGAACCACAACTGGAAGCTGGTTCCACAGGAGAGGAGCTTGGTAACTGAAGGCTCTGGCTCCTGTTCTACTTTTAGAGACTATAGGAACCACAAGTAGCCCAGCATTCAGAGAATGTAGTGTTCTAGTGGGGTAATAGGGTCCTATGAGCTCTTTAAGATATGAAGGGGCCTGACCATGAAGAGCTTTATAGGTGAGGAGGAGGATTTTAAATTCAATTCTACATTTTACAGGGAGCCAATGCAGAGAAGCTAGTACAGGAGAGATGTGATCTCTTTTTCTAGTTCCTGTCAGTACTCGTGCTGCAGCGTTCTGAATTAATTGGAGCGTTTTAATGGACTTATTGGGGCAACCTGATAATAAAGAGTTGCAGTAATCCAGCCTTGAAGTAACAAATGCATGGATTAGTTTTTCTGCATCTGTCTGTGATAGGATGTGTCTAATTTTTCTAATATTACGTAAATGAAAGAAGGCGGTCCTGGAGGTCTGCTTTATGTGGGAGTTAAATGACAAATCCTGATCAAAGATAACTCGAAGATTCCTGACAGTGGTGCTAGAGGCCAAGTTAATGCCATCTAGAGTGACTATATCTTTAGACAATGAGTCTCTGAGGTTTTTGGGGCCAAGAACAAGAATTTTGTTTTTTTCTGAGTTTAACATCAGAAATTTGCAGGTCATCCAGGATTTTATGTCCGTAAGACATGTTTGTAATTTAGATAATTGATTAATTTCATTGGGTTTGATTGATAGATATAACTGCGTATCATCTGCATAACAGTGAAAGTTAATGGAGTGATTCCTAATAATGTTGCCTAAAGGGAGCATATATAAAGTAAATAGTATTGGTCCAAGTACAGAACCTTGTGGAACTCCATGACTAACTGTAGTATTTATTGAAGATTCATTGTTAACATGTACAAACTGCGAGCGATCTGATAAATATGACTTAAACCATCGTGTCAACAATACACACATTGTATGAGGATGAGAGGTCACGGCGGACGGACATGCTTGAGCAAGCAAAGCACATCGCTCACACAGGTGACCACTGGATGTCTGTCAACAACAATAATTATTTGGCCATCACAGCACATTTCATCGATCAAGACTGGACTCTGTAGACTTTTGCACTTACTGTGAGTAAAACCGAGGACCGACATTATGCTGAGGCATGTGCTAACCATTTTCTGGATGTTGCATACCAATGGAAAATCAAGGAAAAGTTGACCACACTCGGCACTGACAGCGCTCCCAACATGGTTGCTGCCGTGAGGCTACTTCCATTTGAACACCTGCCTTGCATGGCCCACTGTCTGCAAAGAACAGTCACAGTCTCACTTAAAGACTGTGGATTTCAAAGTGTTCTGGCCAAATGTCGCAAGATTGTCAGGCACTTTAAGCATAATCCATCTAACGCTCAGGAATTAAACAAACAGCAAGTTGTACACGGACTTAAGCAAGAATCACTTGCTCAGGACGTTGCAACAAGATGGAATTCTACGCTGGAGATGGTAAAGAGGATCCAGAGAAACAAATCTCCACTGACCACTACCCTGGCGCAGCAAAAGAGCAAGGTTGCCATGTTGACTGACCAGGAGCTTGCCAAACTGCAAAAGCTGGAGGAACTACTTGAAACTTGCAGGTAAGTTATTTATTTCTTGTTTCTCCTCCCTCTCTTTCTTCATCCCTATCTACTGTGTACAGTATATGTGTACCGTTTTCTCTCTCTCCATCTCCCTGTCACGTGTGTGTGTGTCTGTGTGTATGTGTGTGCTGTTCTCTCTCTCTCTCCCTCTCTCTCCATCTTCTCTGTGTGTGTGTGTGTGTGTGTGTGTGTGTGCTGTTCTGTCGCTCTCTCTCCCTCTCTCTCCCTCTTCTGGGTGTGTGTGCGTGTCTATTAGACCCGATCCCAACTAGGCTGCTTAAAGAAGTTGTTCCCTTAATTGGCACTTCTTTACTGGATATGATTAATCTTTCTTTATTATCAGGATATGTACCACAGTCCTTTAAAGTAGCTGTAATTAAACCCCTTCTTAAAAAGTCCACTCTTGACCCAGGGGTTTTAGCCAACTATAGACCGATTTCTAACCTCCCCTTCCTCTCTAAGATTCTGGAGAAAGTAGTCGCCAAACAGCTGTGTGACTTTCTACATAATAAAAGTTTATTTGAGGATTTTCAGTCAGGATTTAGAGTTCATCACAGCACAGAGACAGCTCTGGTTAAAGTTAATAATGACCTTCTGACTGCTTCTGACAATGGACTTCTGGTCTCTGTACTTGTATTATTAGATCTTAGTGCTGCATTTGACACCATTGACCATAATATTCTTTTGCAGAGACTTGAGCATCAAATTGGCATTAAAGGAACCGCACGAAGCTGGTTTAAGTCATATTTATCAGATCGTTTGCAGTTTGTACATGTTAACGATGAATCTTCAATAAATACTACAGTTAGTCATGGAGTTCCACAAGGTTCTGTACTTGGACCAATACTATTTACTTTATATATGCTCCCTTTAGGCAACATTATTAGGAATCACTCCATTAACTTTCACTGTTGTTTCACAGGTTGCCCCAATAAGTCCATTAAAACGCTCCAATTAATTCAGAACGCTGCAGCACGAGTACTGACAGGAACTAGAAAAAGAGATCACATCTCTCCTGTACTAGCTTCTCTGCATTGGCTCCCTGTAAAATGTAGAATAGAATTTAAAATCCTCCTCCTCACCTATAAAGCTCTTCATGGTCAGGCCCCTTCATATCTTAAAGAGCTCATAGTACCCTATTACCCCTCTAGAACACTACGTTCTCTGAATGCTGGGCTACTTGTGGTTCCTATAGTCTCTAAAAGTAGAACAGGAGCCAGAGCCTTCAGTTACCAAGCTCCTCTCCTGTGGAACCAGCTTCCAGTTGTGGTTCGGGAGCCAGACACCCTCACCACATTCAAGAGTAGGCTTAAGACATTCCTCTTTGATAAAGCTTATAGTTAGGGCTGGATCAGGTGAGTCCTGAACCATCCCTTAGTTATGCTGCTATAGGCCTAGACTATCGGGGGATTTCCCATGGTGCACTGAGCTCCTCCCTTCCTCTCTCTTTATGCACTCATTCATGTTCCATTAATGCATGTTACTAACTCCACTTCTTCCCCGGAGTTCTTGTCTTTTGATCCTGGTGGAGCCTCCTGCCATGGTCCTGCTAGATTGCCATTGCCAATACTGTTGTTGCTGTGCACCTGTCTGTCTGTCTGTCTGTCTCTCGCTCTCTCTCTCTCTGCCTCTCTCTCTCGCTCTCTCTCTCTCTGCCTCTCTCTCTCTCTCTCTCTCACTCACCCCAACTGGTCGAGACAGACGACCACCCACCTAGAGCCGGAGGATCTGTCCTAGGTTTCTGCCTTTTAACAGGCAGTTTTTCCTTGCCCTTGTCGCCAAGTGCTTGCTCATGGTGGTACTGTTGGGTCTCTGTAAATAATGTTAAAGAGTTCGGTCTAGACCTGCTCTATTTGAAAAGTGTCCTGAGATAACTTCTGTTATGAATTGGCGCTATACAAATAAAATTGAATTGAATTGAATTGCGTGCACTGGTTCTCTGTGTTGTTAATAAAGATTTACTGAAATGTTTAACACCTTGTGCTTTCCATTGCAGATATGTGACTGAACTGCTGGGGGGAGAGCAGTATGTCTCCTGTTCAGTGGTCTTGCCAGCCTGACGCCACTTGTTCAGAGTTATGGAGCCCTCAGACGATGATCCAGTTTATGTTCTGAGGTTCAAGAAGGCCTTTACCACAGACCTAGCTCAACGGAAGGATAGCACCAACTTCAAATGGCTGAAGATCACTACTGCCCTTGACCCTAGGTTTGAAGACCTTAAGTGCCTTCCAAAAGATGAAAGGAGTGAGGTGTGGGCTTCAGTACGTGACCTGATGATGAGAGAGACACATGCACAACAACCACCTGCTGGGACAACAGAGGAGCTGTCAGCAAAGAAGAGGAGGACGTCCATCTTGCTGGGTTCTTCTGATTCAGATACAGATGACGAGGAGGAGTCCATAGAGCATTGTCTGGATCGCTACAAAGCAGAGCCAGAAATGGACATAGAGGGGTGTCCACTACAATGGTGGTCAAAGAGAGAGGGAGCACTTGCCAGGCTGGCACCCATTGCACGCAAGTACCTTGTCAACCCCTGCAACCACAGCGCCTTGTGAGAGGTTGTTCACACTCTCAGGCCACATCATTCAAAAGAAGCGAGCTTCTTTGTCCCCTGATAACGTAGACAAACTGGTCTGCCTCAGTAACTGGCTGAGTGTAAAGAAGGACTAAGTAAATTATATCTGTGGAGTGAAAAATGTTCAATGTTCAATGTTCTGAACTTTCAACAGTATCTTTCCTCATTCTTTTTGGTATTTGTACTGTGCGAATGTGCACCTTAAGCCATTAAAATGTTTTTTGAACTTTCTGTGTTTATTCTACATTAATTTGATGATTTTACATAAATATTCATTTTAAGCTTCAGTCTTAAGTAGAAACATGCAATTAATTTATTGATAAATTAATCGTGATTAATTACAGAAATTTGTGTGATTAGTAGATTTTTTTTAATCGATTGACAGCCTTAATCTATTTATATTTTTAGTTGACTCTAAGATATCGGCCTACTGTGTCTATATTTTGGTTGGGAACCACTGCATTAACCACGTTTTTAACTAAGGGCTACAAAAGAATAACTTTTCAACATTATCTTTAATATTAAAGATTAAATGATTGCTATTACTGATGAAGGGGAAACCAATCGGACACAGAGAGTAGACTACATCTTATATATAGCATTTTAAAATGGTTTATTTTTAGTTATCGCATGAAAGAATAAACGATATTTGAAAGATTTGCTGAATTTCAGATCCGATAATCGATCTATAAATTCTTTGTCTGCAAACGTTTTAGAGTTTTCGGAGCGTCAGATAATCTGTATAATGACAGACAGCTTCGGTCTCATCTGAAATATGAATTTTAATCAGAAACTAGTACAGAAAGAAAAAGGAAAATCATGAAGTCGAATGAAATGAAGTTTGTTGCTACAGAAATGGTAACAAATCCAGACTGTGTGCATTCCTGTTGTATTTGTCCAGCAGCTCAATAAAATGAAAACAAAAATAGCACCTGATTTAATAAAAAATCAAAAATATCCTGGAAGACGCTCAAGTCTCCTCAGGTTCAGTAAAAGATCGAAAAACAACCTGCAGAGAGTTCTCGAGTGAAGAAAAGTCAAAATAAAACAATCTCCAGTGGGTACGGAAGCCCTGGAAGGAGAGTGAATTTTTTATTTATCTATAAAAACTGGTTAAAAAAATTATACAATTTAAAAGTAAAAGTAAAATATGTATATAAAGAAATTTACCTGGGAAAAAAAAATCCTGAAAGACACTGAAGGTCGTGTTGTGCATCAGGTCCAGTTAAAGAGTAAAAGGTGGAATCAACGTCCAACAGAAAGTTCTCGATGAAATACAAAATAGAACAATCTCCAAGCTGTATGGAAGCCCTGAAGGGAAACTGAAATTAAATTCATGTTTTGGTGTTTTTTTTAAACATGTTATTTCATAAGTGGACAAAAAAGTAAACTTGGAAATATATATTTTCTCGTTTTCAGGGCTTCTGTAGATTTCTCCAAGCGAAGGTGCTCTTTCTTTTGGTAATCTCCAGTTTTGGAACAGTTTAAACTTTGATGTGTTTTCAGTTTAAATGTCCCAGAACTGAAACGTTTCTCCTTGAAGATGAACATGTTTTTTAAAGATTATTCCTGATTTAAAGCAAAGCTGCAGTTTCCTTCATCCAGTCATCACTCGTACTCCTCATTGACTCTTCCTCACACACCGTTTCTCGCAATCTGACTTTGTCTTGAAGCGGTTTCCGTTGCCGCCACAGCCGCCGTACCAGAAGCGAGCGCATTTCCCGAGATCGTTGTTGAAGGACCACATTATGGTGTAGTTCTGGCAGCCGCCGGTGTCCTGGCTGAGCAAACAGACGTCTGGATGAAGACAGGAAAGGGATTAAGTGACCACACTGGGTAATTATGAGATATTTTCTTGTAATTAATAGAACTTAATTATGAGATAAGGTGTCTAATTTTGATGCCTGAAATAGGGTCTGCAGTTTCTTCTATGACATAAAATACACCAATGAAGAAGATACATGAGGCCGTGATACACACACAGTACTTTCACTGAATGAAGAAAACTCATCAGTTATTGTTCAAGACAAATTTAGCGTCAGAGTAAAGAGATCTACTAGAAGGTCTGAAATGTTTTTTATCACTTTTTTCTTTCCAAATTCCTCGCAGGACACAAACTCCACCCCTCTGGCCTCAGACCAACCATGACGTGTGTTTACAGTGTGTTGGTATAAAGTGGTGTGTGGGCTACCGTTGAGGTTGGGTCCTGAGTCTGAACTCTGGCCGTCCACTGGGGTCAAAGGCTCGATGACATCCAGCTGTACAGTCTGAGTCTTTCCTCCCGCTTGCTCCCAAAACTTCTCCTGGACTTCATCCCCCTGGATTTCCCCCTTCAGCTCTGCCGACCCCTCACTGGACACACAGCAGCCAAAACTCACTGATTCACAATAACTTCAAAGGTTACATATGAGATTTAAAACATTAATATATCAGCTAACAGCTATTCTCTGTGTGAAGATACAGAGTCACATGGTGTCTCTCTCCCTCTGTCTGTGTTGTATCGCAGCCTCTCTGTGGTTTGTTTCCATAGCCGGTCTGCTCCGACTGAAACTGCTGTTTTTATCATCTACGTCGGTGAATTAAGGATTTATTTCCACCAAACCAGAGTTGGTGATTGTTGGAAACACTAACAGAGTCTTAGTTTGTTTCTGTCCCTTTGTTTTGGACTAAGATGCTGATGCTCCAGTGCAGGTGAATTTCATATAAATAACCTTTAAAAAGAACCGTACGAGGGCATTTGCATGTTTTGATCACAAATCTTCTTAAAGCAGCACTAATCAATATTTTGATCAAAAACGTGTAGTGTCAAAAGATTTTGTGTTCTTGAGCAAGATACCGAATCCCAAACTTCCTCCTTAAACCATCCTTAAATATCCTCATTGGAGTCAGTAAAATACTCAGAAAAACGCTCTGGAGTCTGCAGAATCTGATGCATAACAGTTTAATTGGAGTCTACACACATACAAAACAATGAGTGAGGAACGGGGACCAGACTAACCTTTCTGTAAACATATTCTATATATTGTACAGGAGCTCCTCGTTTGTCAGATCACAGATCAAGTTTTTTATTTCAATTGTCACTTTTGACAAATCAGAAACATATTCTATTGTTTGTATCTGCACAACTGTAGGACCGGATCTAAAGGTTTTTATTATTCCAAATGGTTGATCTCTCTGTGATCTCCATGACCGACCTACTTACATCAGTGGCCACTAGGGGTCACCAAAGCTTCAAGGGGGGGTTGCAAGGTCTACTGGATTTTAAGTATGCTAGAAAGTTTAAAAAATATACTCAGTAGGTCTATATCTCCACTTTTCATTCATTGCTTTGAAGGAAACTAAATGATTTTTTAAAGTTTGGACTACACTGTAAAACCAGATCAGGTTATTTAACTCAGGAAATTGTTGAAACTAAAAATTAACTCATTTTGTAAGTAAAAAAAAACATTCTTGATCTTTTATTTATTTATTAGTTTTAAGTGACGCTGACTTAATTTTGAATTCTTCATTTGTATTGTGAAATTTTTTTGTAATTTAGCACTTAAAGCACAAGCATGTCTTTTTAACTTATTTTGACTTTGTGTTTGATATGAACAGTTTCAACAATTTTATTTATTTATAATTAAAATAACTGAATTATTTGATACCCTGAACACAAGCTGGATTAGAACAATGTCCAAATATCAGGGAGAAGAAAACACTGAACTAGTACAAAAAGTTAAATCTCTGATTTTACACGAACTTCCCGCAGTTATTGTGTTCAATGTGTTCATTGTACAGTTCTGCTGACTCTGCACACAAAAAAGGGTTGCTGACCAGTAATCTGTCGTTGTGGTAATTTAGCTTTCTTCTCCAGAATAACATAATTGTTCGAGATTTCGAAGCAAAAAATTTCAGTGTGAACCAGTTACCTGTCTAAGAATATCCCTTCATCCTCTAAGTCCGTCAGCTGGTTGCAGGTCTGTTTTAATGAAGGCGGAGGATATGTGTTCATTCCCTCTGAAATAAGCAGAGAACAGAGGGAAACAATTTGAACTTCACGATATCTGGAGATTCAAAGGCAACGTTAGAAACAGTTAATGACAAATTGTTAATTTTAATTCAATTTAGAACCCGGTCTCACTGTTGAGGGTGGTGAGGAAGACCCTGAAGAAGCGTTGGGCGTAGCCCTGCTCGTCAGCCTTCAGATTGCTGATGTGGATCAGGTGCTGCTGTACAGGTGGACTGGCCAGCTCCTCCACCTGGGTCCGGTTGTAGCGCTCGCCGACCGTTACCACAAACAGCGCCACCCCCTCACACTTGGCCTTCTGGGAGATGTAATGCAGCCTGGCTCGGTCTTGGTAAGCCGTCTGGGTTCCCACCACGGTCAGCACTGCCCTCCTCCTCCGGGGCTGGCTGGCCTTCAGGAGCACATCCTTCAGGGTGAACTCTAGCGTATGTCCCAGCGCAGAGGAGCCGCCCTGCTGACGCATGTTCTGGATCAGGTGCCTCTTCATCAGGTTGTGGTTCTGGTAGGTCTGCAGGCCGAACTCCACCTTAACAGCCTGGGTACCGCTCTGCTGGACTACAGCCACCCGGGCCTGGTTGCCGGCCCTGCGGGGCTGCGGGCTCACAGCCAACTGCTCCACCACAGAACCCAACAGCTGCTGAGCACCGGTGTACTCATCAGCCTGCACCTCCCTGGAGCTGTCCACCACCATGACCAGGTCCAAGTCGACCTCCTGAGGCTGAACCGGTTCCTGGATGAAGGTGCACTGCTCTGAAGGCCTACACGGGTCTGAAGAAACCACAAAGAAAATATGTGACTGTACATGTCTGTCTTTGAGTATATTATAGGCTAAAAGATGCTGAACCTGCATTGACAGCATTTGTTACAACTATTAGGAACTCCTGATCCAAGACAACATGCAAGGCATTGTCTGTCTCTCTGGTGGAAGTCACTGAGGTAGTAAACAACCCACAGGACTCTTATGTGGTTGGGCCGATTTGGTAGACGGCGACTTTTAAATGTCTCATGGAGTTTGGGTGCATTTCCTACAGACTGTCAGACATGGGTGGTAATTCCCACTTCTAACCAGAGCTCTAATTATTGGGGTATCACACCTCTGAGCTTCTCTGCAAAAGAAATTTACAATTTTGTCATAAATATTAAAATAGGGGTACAATACGACTGGGGATGTTTAAGATTGAACAAAAAGCTTGAGAGAGAAGTTTAAACTTTGTTTGCTTTCTCACCTCTCCAATTGGCGGATGTGGTTGTTTTGGAAAGCTGCAGAAAACAATTTTCATTGTAATCCATTTAAACAGTTATCAACGTTGCCTGAATAGCTCCCCTGGTAGAGCCGACGTCCTACATACAAAGACTGAGTCCTTGCTGCATCAGCCATGGGTTGGAATCCTACCTGTGTCATCTCCTCTCCCCCTTTCCTGTCTATCTTCAGCAGTCCTATCTAATTTTGTTTAGTTTGTGTTACATAAAAAGTTAAAATAACTAATCTCGCACATTTGCTAACAGGACCTACAAAAGTCAAGCATGCAAAATAAAAACTGAAGCACATTTTTCATATTACTAATGATTTATAATAAATCCAAGCAAGAGTCTCAGTGCTTACCGTAACAGATTGCACAGTTCTTCACCTTCCCCAGGTCAGTCATGTCCGTCCCCAGCACCATAAAGATGGAGTTTCCTGTGTCGTCAACCTGAGAATAAATTATTGTCATTATTTACCAAAACTGGGCCCCGTTCTGAACTCTGCACAGAAACAAAACCTACCTGCAATGCTCGACTAACAGCCTGGGCGTTACGCAGAGAGATGACCGCCGGGACAATGTTCAGGGCCCGGTACTCCATCATGGCGGTAACGATGTTGGAACTGTCCTGTGATGGCCCGTTGGAGAAAAAGACAGCCATCTTTCTCATCCTGACTCCTGCACGAACACGTTTGAAGACATTCTGACCCACGAAGCGCATGGCGGCTCCCAGTTGGCGTCGGTTGGAGGTCCTCTCCGGGGCGATGTTCTTCACAGATTCAATCAGCTTCTTCTTGCGGCGGTAGTCCTGGAAGCGGATCAGCTGATTGGTGTGGGCGCTGTATCCCACCACGGCGACCCGGGCGCCCGTCGGGCAGTTGCTCTCAGCGATCGTGATGTCCTCCAGCAGGTAGAGGAGGGCAGAGCGTTGCCTCTCAAAGACTGCCGGGGTCACGTCCTCGGACATGTCCAGACCGAACACCAGCTCAGTGGGATACGCTGGGCACTCCGATTGACCTGCAGGAGTTATTGTTGAGAAAAACACAAAAACAAAACTGGAACGTCCAAACTTGTTGAAATATTTCAGCATTTCAATCATTTTTTTTATGTTATCTTTCACGCCTTAAAATCAAGAAGGTCTCGCGGCCTTTGAAGCTTAGGCCACCCCTGATGGGGGTCCCAATCCTGAGGTTGGGAACCACTGGTCTACAGCATTAAAATAACTCAACAATTCCTTTCCACACACAGTTTCTTGTTAGACAGTAATCTGTATCATGTGTTGATACTCACTCGCACACTAATAAACATGTTCACAACTCACCATTGTAAAGTGTACGAAAAGTGTTCCTGCAGTCTCTGAGTCACCAGTTAGGAAATCCTTAATGTTTAAAGCTCGTTCCTTCTGGAATATCATCTTCTCGCCTGTTTAAAAATGCTGTCTTCTTATTTAAGGATCAGTTGTAAATGTTCTTAATGAGAGTTGTCCATAACAACACCTTCATAACTTCATGAGATGATTCATCTGAAAGGGGTTATTCCTAATAAAGAATGTATTCACTGGTTTCATTCTGGATTTTGGCTGCTCTGATTAGCATTGGTTGTTTAGAATATTTTGTCAGTTTCTACGTCCAAACGCCACACATGCCTGCTGCTTACCAGTGACGAGTATCAGGTTTAGTTTCTCGCCTTTATAACAAACCAAATTTCATTCAAATCAGTTCCTCATTAAAAGCGTTGCAGTGGATTATGTAATGAAGTCTCTCAGTACTGTTAACTAGCAGATCTGACCTCTGCAATATGACTTTACCTAGAGACTGCACATGTGAAAACGAGAATGTTTTTTGCTCTCATCTGATCAAATTATCTCTTGAAGGAGAAAACTGCTTCATAATTTGTTATTTTTGGCAGTGGGACATACGCAGACCTAATGTTTGTTTATGTACACTATATTTAAATGTATTTTACGCAACAAATGTGGTTCTGTTTTAAAAAATCGTATTGTTTAACAGACAATAAGACATAAAAGTCCTGTCCATCTCTCAAGCTGTCCTGACTGAGAAAGGGAAAACAACCCCAAAAAAAATGACAGAAGAGCGTTATGAAACTGCAAACATTTGTTCAAAACCAACAGACATTCACTTGATGATCTCACATCTTGATACCTCGAGTAAATCAGCAACTTTTGTACTTACCACATAGTTCCTAGCGATAAATGGAGATATACATACCGTGGGAACATGCTGTGTGGAGGAGAAAAATAATATTTAGAGTTATCCTGGAGTTATCGGGTCAGTGACACAGATCAGTACGTTTTGCGAGTAATTTGTGCGCATTGGTTGTCACAATTACATTTAAGAAGACATCAAAATGTCGTTTTGTTCTCCACAGAACTTCAAAGAAATTATATGAGCCTTTCAAGAATTAAGATTCTCATAAAACAACTGATGAACAAATACATGACAAACATGAAAAACAAATTTCTCCTGAGCTAAAAATGCAATTGTTTGTGGTTCACAAACATATTCAGACACTTACCGCAGTTGTCTCTGATGTATGTGATCAGCTCACACTGTAGCAAAAGAAAAGATGTTATTTATATATATAACAATAATTAAGAATAATGAATCAATTCATATTTGTCTCATATATATTCGACTTACAGTCACGTCTCTGCTTCCCGGAGGACCTCTGGGACCCTGGATGGAGTGAAAGGAGGGATATCAGTAAACTTACTTGCAATCATATCAATAACATTTAAAGCTGCCATATGTAAGATAGTGAATCCTGTTCTGTCTCAGTGTGAGTCAGTGTGTGAGCAGAGAGTGAACGGGTTGTAGTGTAGCTTTGTCCCTCTGCTGCCTGTGGACTGATTTCTATGCGTTTCTATGTAGGGATGAGGGTAGGGCTGAGTGATATGGACCAAAAGTCATATCCCGATATATTTAGTAGAGCCCGACCGATAAAGGATTTTTAAGGCCGATACCGATACAAATATTTGGTGATTTAAAAATCCGACATTCCGATATATCGGCCGATATGTTTAAAAAAGAAATTAACAAAACATAAACAGATTTCCCTAACATTAGTTATTTGTAGTTATTTATGAGTCCTCACTAAAATAAAAGGATAATGCAGTTTAAAAATAAACTTTACATTTGTTGTCACAACAGAACAGAAGAACATCGAAATATATGAAAGTCCTTTCAACAAAAACACAACAAAAAAATATATATATATAGTATAGAGTATTAATAGACTTGGTAAGCTTCATAAATATAACTTTGAACAAGACTGGAAAAAAAAAAATTCTGTTAAGTTCTATAAGTTCTGATAAAGTTATTACAGTTAATAATAATTAAAACAATTTGTCAAGATCTAGAAATTATTTTAAATTTACATACATTTTCACATCTGTGAAAATGCATACTTAGACACAGTAAGTATTTTCACAGAGCAAAAGTGTCTGAAGCAGCATTTTACATGAAGTAGGTTTAATCACTCTTTAGTTTGCTAAGTTTAGTCTCCTTTTTGACAAAAAAACGATAATATCGGCCCGCCGATAAATCGGTCGGGCTCTAATATTTAGGCTGAATATCTATATACGATATATATCCTGATATTTTTTCCGCAAACTGAGAGCAAATGTTCAGTCAAAGTCAAAGCCAAATATGACATGTCACAAGTAGTTTTATTGAAACTGGCTATTTCAGTGAACAGCTGCAAAATCAAATGAATAAATAATAAACAGGTTTCTTCACCTGGTTCATGATTAAATGCTCAGCTGTTCAAATAACAATAAAATGTAAACATAAATACTGTATAACAACAGGAGTACCTTTTTTGAAATCATAAGGTGCACATTTAAATAAAAAAATATCTTAAATAAAATAGGCCAATCTTTTTCTGAAATAAATAAATTTATATGAGAAAAGTACAATATCAACATTTTTTTAGTTTAACACCTATAAATGGCTTATTAAAATCGAGTTACAGATTTTCCTCTCCTTTGTAACAAATCCGCAGATGCAATTATATATAAAGAAAGAACAAAATAAAGTGTTCAGTTTAAGAATTCTTTTTTTAAACATCAGCTTGAGATTACCTTTTCCTTTTTGTTAACTCAATTTCTTATCTGAACAGTCTCAACCAGTTGCACAAGAAACATACTATCAACTCAGTAAACATTTCACTTTTTTTTTTTTTTACAGTAATGCTGTCTTGAGGTAGACATTAGAAGACAGACAAACGTGTCCCTCCTTCGTTTAAAGATTTTGTGCAAGAAACACCAGCCTGTCAACGGCATCCGGCTTCAGAGATGTTTGTGGCAGGCATTTTTTTTAATCAACACCAGTCCTAATCATAAATATCAAATATTATATTCATTCATTTTCTGAATTTTAATCCTGTAAGGGATTTTTATGTATTATTATTTTTGTATAATTTATAAATGATGACTATACTGTATGTACATTTACTCATGTTTCGTTCTTGTTGTTGTTCTTAGTATTTATGCTATTTTTTAATGCTACTTCATATTTCTACTCCACTAAAAACTCCACAATGTTTAGGCCTACGTGTCAACATTAGTTTCTAGTTACTTTGCAGTTAGCTCTTTCAATCCAGAGAAAAAACTATAGTCTATCATAATAGCTAAATATATGTTACCTTGATGATATCAACAGGCTAACCAGCATTTTAAGGTCATAATTACCTCACCTTTACCAGCTGTAACATTAAAGTGGTAAACACATAAATGCATCACTAATTCTTATCCAATAACCTAATAAATATGGTTTTGAAATCTACCATTCTGTATTGTAAGTGATTTTACTTTTAGCACTTTAAGTTTTGTGTTTTATTAATTTATTTAACCTCTATTTAACAATACATTTTTCAACGGAGAGCTGGCCAAGACAGCAGCATAAAACACAAAGTTGCAGACAGACACACCAAGGAAAATAAGGAAAAACTAACATTTTAATATGTTTTTGTTTAAAGTAAGTGTTTTGGGGCTGGAGCTTTTTCGGGTTGTGGATGGCTTGCGGCTGGGGCTTCTGCAGCGCAGTTTCACACACTCTTTGTATTGCAGTCTGTGCCACTGTTTTAGGTGGTGAAAAAGATTTGTAGTGCTTCCACCCCTGGCTGTAACTTGTTTATGGCACTCCCTACATACAACGTGATTTTGTTGCTCATCGGATACTTTGAATCCGAACCATCTCCAAATTACTGAGCCACTGCTTTTTCTATGGTCTAATTCCATATCACATTTAAAAATATATCGATATATTTTTTATATCGATATATCTCCCAGCCCTAGATGAGGGTCAAAGGTTGTGACCTTTATGCTCCCGAGTGCCTTCTCTCTCCGCTTCCCTACAGTGCCAACAGTGGGCAACACTAGCTAACATTAGTTTATATATGGAGTCTGCTAACATCTACAAACAACCAACACCCACAGAGTCCACAACACAGAGTCCAACACAGAGTCCACAACACAGAGTCCAACACAGAGTCCACAACACAGAGTCCACAACACAGAGTCCAACACAGAGTCCACAACACAGAGTCCACAACACAGAGTCCAACACAGAGTCCACAACACAGAGTCCAACACAGAGTCCAACACAGAGTCCACAACACAGAGTCCACAACACAGAGTCCAACACAGAGTCCAACAGAGAGTCCACAACACAGAGTCCACAACACAGAGTCCAACACAGAGTCCACAACACAGAGTCCACAACACAGAGTCCAACACAGAGTCCAACACAGAGTCCAACACAGAGTCCACAACACAGAGTCCAACACAGAGTCCACAACACAGAGTCCACAACACAGAGTCCAACACAGAGTCCAACACAGAGTCCACAACACAGAGTCCAACACAGAGTCCAACACAGAGTCCACAACACAGAGTCCAACACAGAGTCCACAACACAGAGTCCAACACAGAGTCCAACACAGAGTCCACAACACAGAGTCCAACACAGAGTCCACAACACAGAGTCCAACACAGAGTCCACAACACAGAGTCCAACACAGTCCACAACAAAGAGTCCAACACAGAGTCCAACACAGAGTCCACAACACAGAGTCCACAACACAGAGTCCACAACAGTCACTAGAAGCTGGGGTTGTCCGGCTAGCTGTATCTTGGCTGCACGGTGTGGGTCTGGCGTTGGTCGCTTCGTGGTGTTTGGCTGATGGGCTGATGTGTAAACAGCGAGCTAGTTAGTAGCATGGAGCTAACGGTCCAAATTAAATATAAGAACATTGCAGATAGTAACGTTATTCTAAATGTTTATTTTAAAACGTTCAGTCTAGTGTTTGTCACTGACTGCAGTTCCCTTAACGGCCATTGGTGTCACTGTTACCAAGTTAAATAAACGTTACATATAAAACTCACCCTGCGTCCTGGATGTCCCGGGTCTCCAATCACGCCTGATTCTCCAGAACTGCCTGAATTCCCCTGAGTAGATGAGACCAGAAATAAAAGTCACTAATGAAGCAAAAACAATGAATAAAATAAATAAAAAAATACAAGCATGTTGTCACTGACCCCTCGACCTGGGTTCCCTTTGCGTCCTGGATATCCTTTTGTTCCCTTCATACCATCCTCACCCTGAACACAAGAAAACATACAAAAACACAAACTCGGCGTCACTCATGCCTGGACAGTTTGTACAGTTTGGGCATTTAATTCTTAGAAAATGGATGGACTCACCGGTAGACCAGGGTAACCAGGAAAACCAGGATCTCCCTGTATGGAGAAGGTAAGAATCAATTCACCTGACTCATCAGTTATCAAGAAGATTTTTTTAAATGTCAGATAGTGAGAGCGTTTCCATCCTCCTGATTTTATGCGTTTTCTGTTTCATTTTTACATTTGTAAAAGTTCCTGTGTGGTACTTGTGCTATATTGTTAGATAAGCTAGTGGAGCACTAACGGAGCTAACCAGCCATGAACAGCAGCTGTCAGACTTTCTGTGTCCCTGCTGGAAACACAGAGTCAGCTGGAGCTTTTACAGTCACTAGAAGCACATTCAGGCTGGTTGTAAAAGTTTCTTTGTGCTACCTGTGTTGTAATGTTCGCTAAACTAGCGGCTCCGAGAGGCTAACTCTCCGGCATCTGTGCTTACTGCTACGTAGCAGGGTGCACTCTGCAGAGTCAAGATGTTGGTTTTATAGCAGTGGGGGTTGGTTGGTGACGAAAGATGCCACCGTATGTCACCTGACCCCAGATCAGCTATTGTTGTAGCTGAGTTTCAACCAGTAGAGGACGGTTGCTGTGCATTTTTACAGCAAAATACGTAGAATATTTTAACTAAAATGTCCAGATTTGTACCCGAATTAATCAATAACACCAGTAAATATCCATACATGGGTTTTCAACCTGAAGAAAGTGGTTTCAGGGTTTAGTTACTACCTAAATAGATAAATAAGGCTAAAGGTAAGGAGACTAATATGCGTTTTTGATTTTGAGGTGAACGGTCCCTGTAATGCCACCGAATGGAGAATTAGCTCAACCATCAACCAACAGGAGTGGACGGAAACAAGCTTTCATTAGGGACCGAGCCAGCGACCGGCAAGGTCCCTATTGTATTTGCTCCGTTTCTTATTATTTTTAGCCCCCATTGACTGCATTTTTGCCCCCCTGAACATATACGAAAAGTCAATTTTATTTGGCAAAGTGATCAGGCCTGGTGAAAATGGGGATATTACATGCGTCGCTTTTGGGTCTGCCACTAGGTGGCGCTACTATCATAAAAAATGCGTTTAGGCTAATAACTTCTGCATAGTTTGTCGCACATTCAAAAAACTTATATCCACGCGTTCGGTGAATGGAGCTGAATCTCCCCATATAAGCCCCGCCCACTTCCGCCTAGAATTTTTTTTTTCTAGAGCGTGAAATGTCCTTGAACTACTTTTTCGGGTTCCTCCTACACGCTTTGTCCGATTCGCACAAAACTTTTCACCTACCACCTGGGGACCGCCCTGGCAAAAAAAGTAATTTGAACCTTTTTGAAATTTAAAAAAATAAGCACGCTATAAAATTCCAACTTCCTGTAGATTTTTCGTCAAAAAAGGAAGTGGACCATTTCTCCACATTGGTATGTCCGATTGACACCAAACTCGGGTCCATAGTTCAACATGTCTTCCTTAAACATCGTGCACAATTTCAGGCCATTGCCTCTAGGTGGCGCTCTCTAAAATGAAGAAGTTTATATCTCTACAACGGTATGTGTGATTAAGATGAAACTTGGTATGATGCTTCCCCCTGGCTACCTGAGGCTCCCTTAAAAAGGAAAAACTAAATACGCCACTAGGTGGCGCTCTTTTGGCATGAAAAATCACTGTGCAAATACCGTAATAGTTATGAATATGAAATTCACAGGGCACGTGTAGAGTAGTGCCTGAAGCTCACATACCAAAAATCGTGTTCGTCATGTGTGTAGCGCCCCCTACAGGATAAAAAAACAGCAGCCCCGGCGGCACGTTTCACCGATATGTACGAAACTCGGTAGGCCCGTTTAGAATGCCGGGACGTACAAAAAAGCCTCTTGGACCCATACCCCAAACCCCACAGGAAGTCGGCCATTTTGATTTTCATTTTCACTTTCGGCGAACTTTTCGCGTTGTATTTGAACGAACTCCTCCTAGGGAATTTATCAGATCTGCTTCAAAATGTGTGAGTACAGTCCAAAAATGGTGCTGATTAAAGGTTGTGCTATTTGTGCATGTACGTTGAAGGGCGTGTCCATGGCGTGGCATCAAAGTCAGCCATTTAGAGTTTTTTGGTCATTTTCTGTGATTTTTCGCGTTGTATTTGAACGAACTCCTCCTAGGCAATTTATCGGATCTACTTCAAATTTAATCAGTGCAATCTAAAGACATTCATGATTAAAAGTTGGGCTATTTACGACATTCGTCAAAGGGGTGTTTTGCCAAAGAGCCATTTTGCATTCGGGTCATTTTCTGTGATTTTTACGTTGAACGAACTCTTCCTAGGCAATTTATCGGATCTACTTCCAATTTAATTAAAAAAAATTAAAAAAAATTAAAAATAAAAATTGGGTTATTTAATACAATCCAACAGCGTGTCCTTGGCTTGCCATCAAAGTCAGCCATTTTGCATTCTGTGCTCATTTTCTGTGATTTTTTGCCTTGTATTTGAACGAACTCCTCCTAGGGAATTTATCGGATCTACTTCAGATTTAATCAGCGCAATCTAAAGACATTCATGATTTAAAGTTGTGCTATTTACGACATTCCGTCAAACGGCGTGCCCGTGGCGTTGCGTTGAATTTCGACCAGTCACCATAAACAGATAGTACTCAACTTCAGTGTACAGTCCCACCCTGAACACGTCCTCATAACTTCAGCGTACATGATCCAATCTCAATGAAACTTCACGTGTTTGATAAGTCCCACCCTGAACACGTCTACATGACAATATTCAGACATAGTGAAAGCGCCACCTACTGGCAACAAGAAGTAAGCGCTGCGTGGCGATTTTGAGCTGCGTTACGTGAAATGACCGTGCCAGTGACGACTTGTGAAATTCAGCGGATTCGCCATGAAATGCCACTCATAACTTCAGTGTGCAATGTCCAATCTCCAGTGAACTTCATATATTCTGTGACAGTCTCGCCATGAACACGTCCTCATAACTTCAGCGTACGTGGTCCAATCTCAATGAAACTTCACATGTGTTACAACAGTCCCGCCCTGAACTTGTCTACATGACAATATTAAGACATAGTGATAGCGCCACCTTCCGGCAACAGGTGATAAGCGCTGCGTGGCGATTTTGAGCTGATTTACGTGACATTTTCGTGTTGTGGCAGCGCACCCCGAGTTGCATGGAGTGCGAGGTCCCGCTCAACGCTGCTTGCAGCTTTAATTTCCATTTGGTTTTCTAGAAATGTTTGCTACATTTGGAAGCAAGTTATGTCTTTAGTTAGTCATTAAGGTCAGCTGTACCTTGGCACCTTTGGGTCCTGGAGGTCCATAACCGTCATTTCCATCCTGACCCTGAAACAGATCACACACAGACGGCCTGAGATCAGACTACTCATAAACTGTTTATATTATACTCACAAACACAGCTGATGTTCAGCTCCTTACTGGCATTCCTCTGGGTCCCAGTGATCCTGGAGAACCCTTCACGCCTGGATCTCCTGGTTGGCCCTTCAACAACAACAACAACAACAACAACAACAGTTAAATCTTCTCTCTACTGAAGTCATGGCTGTAGTTCCACTTCACAATTACTAAAAGTCCATATTCCCCTAAGAGAACCCCACCACCCAACCACACCCTGTACAATAATAATAATAGTATTTTCTACTCATTCATCTGTTTTCTATAAATCTGATCTTCCTACGTTGTGCTCTAAGTGTTCTTTAAGCAACCTTTCATTTAAGCTTTAGGGACGGGCATGTCGGTGAGTCTGAAATATCTCCATTGATTGTGATGAAATGTGCTTCAGACATTTATTCAGACATTCCTTTCCTGTACCTACATATGCTATGTGCTAGGCTAATCTATGCTGAAAAGTCAACCACATTTTTAAGTGTTTTGCTACAGGGCAAAGCTAACTAGCTATTCAATCAATTGTTAGCTAGCTCATGATTAATGTAGATTAGCTAGCCATCAAATGGACAATTGATGTAGGTAGCTAGCTAGCTAGCTAGTTATATGTGGTTGTCTCTTTAACATAGATTAGCCTAGCACATAGCATATATAAGAACAGGACAGAAGGAACATCTGATCAACATTTTAATGTGTCCAGTACTTTGATTTTTTAGACCAATATTATCAAAAGTTAGCATGCAAGGGAATTATGTCACACACCTTCTGCCCGTTAGCACCACGGCGTCCGGGTAGTCCTGGTCCTCCTGCTGGTCCTGGTTCACCCTGCAGGAACACCAACAGTCAGAGCAGGAAGAAACCACCAAACAGTTCCTGTAGCGGGCTCCGCCTTAAAGCTGGAGTGAACATACTGGTATCATATGAAACTAGAAGACTTGACGCATCCGTTGCATGAGTGACTGTATCTGTACAGGGTATTTTATTTTGAAAATTCACCAGCTGCTCTATGCCGGTTCTGTGTCTGACTTTATTGTCGCTCGAACAAAATCAACTTTAGTGAACTTTTTTTTGACCTTTGCATTAGTCCCCCCCACCCGAATCAAAACAGTCAGAACACATATATGTATATAAACACAATATACAAGCTGTTTGTGAAGCCTTTAAATAGACTACAAACACATTCTAAATCATGTAAATCATTTATGTGCATTTGCATTAGTCTGCAACTTGTAAGTGAGCAGTTATAGAAGCAGAATGTAATGAAATAAAGTCAAGTTTATGAGTTGATAATTGAGCCTTGTGTAGTTTCAGGAACAATACTCGCTCTGATGTGGCTCAGTGCTGTAATTAGAAACAGATGCAGCTTGAGGCCACACTGTAAGAAAAACTGAAGTAGTAAAAAATGATGTTTTGTGGTAACAAAACCTGCAGAATCTAATGACTGCTGGCCTGAAATTAAACAGTTATTACAACATTCCTGTTCATGAAAAAGTGTTTACTTCCCAGAAGACCATCTTAATGACCTGTGTCCTGTTGTATTTCATTTTCACTGTAAATGGAGCGTTTCCTAATCAGGTTTTCTGATCACGTTCAGATTATGTTCAGTCTACCTCGGTGCTGTTGTATTGCTGCTGCATGTAAAGACACACTCACAACTCACGACTTTTAAAATACGAGACTGAAGATAACTGATGACAGAAAAAGATTCCTTTATTTCTACAAATCTACAAAATATATATTTTCTTATAGTTTCTTTATCAAATGATAGAATCCTTCTTTATTTCTGAGGTATAAACTGTGCAGAACGATGTATATTTCCTTTTCTTTGTCTGTGTTTGCGCCATTTTTCATCTCAACGACTTCAGTCTCAGATCTGAATTGGACCAAAAAAGTTGCCATAACCCTAATTCAGCACAACCCTAACCAATGTCCAGTGTCCAGAAAGTTTCATATCCCAATGAGAGCCTTCATAGCGTGTTGCCTACGTCGTTTACTTGTACGTTTATATTGAAGAATCTTCTCTGACTGATTGATTTCCTCTCTGGTACCACAATGTTGATGTAGCGTCAAATTTGATCTAGAGTCTGCATGCGGTATTTTATTTTGGAAATCAACCGGTTTCTTTGTGCCGTTTCAGTCTTCTGACTTCCTGCCAGTGCAATCTGCTCTGTGCTGCTTGATGCGAGTGGGTCGCGGCTTCCATCAAAAATAGAACAGCTACGCGACACTTTCCCAAATACAGGCCTGTCCCATAGAGGCCTGTCTCAAATAGAGGTCTGTCCTAAATACAGGACTGACACTAATAAAAACATACCTATGAATATTATATTAAATTTCTGACATAGATCCTCCTCAATGTTACACACTGGACCTTTAAAATACTGTGTAATGCGGTGTTATCAACAGTCATTGCTAAAGAAGGCTGGTTTTCTTGGTTTCCCACTCGCTGTACTGGAACTCGGGGGTGATGTCACGCTGATGGACACAGTTTAGCATTACAGTTAGTGACGCAGTCTCGGTGTGAAACAGCTAAATCCTCAGCAGCAGTCTGTGGGAGGAAGGTGCAGTGAGGTACTGACCTGAGGTCCAGGAAAACCAGATATTCCTTTTGGTCCACGATCTCCGTTTCCCCCCCTGGGTCCCTGCGGAGACACAATGGACGGGTTCAGGATGGAGCTCCCAATACGCTTGTGTGTTGTTTCACTTCATCACCTCCCACCTCCACCAAAAACAGCCACACAAATGATCCACATTTGATTAATCCAATTCAAATTTTAAACCCTATTTTAAGGTCTTCTGTATTGTCTTGTGATTCTTCTACTAATGCTTTTTTATGTCCCACATGAAGCACTTTGAATTGCCCTATTGTGAAAAGGTGCTTTACAACACTGGTTTCAAAACATCAAACAATCAGATTTTATGGATGTTTCATATTATATTCAAAAACTGTACAATGAACCCAAACAGTGAACTCAAACTTGACAAATACAGTGCTTTTTTCTCTCAAACCCTTGGCAATTGTTCTATAAGACAATTTACTTTTACATTTCGTCACAGAAGTGAACCAAAAGCTGCGATATTGGCCTACTGTGTGTAGTTTTAAATGTTTTCTTACACTCAGATGGCCTTGCAACCTCCAATAAAGCTTTGGCGACCGTGATTGCTTCCCCTATTTGGAACCAAAAAACAGAGACTGGTTCCTGTTTTGGTCTTCAGTTTTTATTTTCTCTGGTTTTTGTTGCCCTATTTATGAATATTAGTAGACTTTGGTCTTCTTAGTACCGTGATCCACATACAGCCTATTGAATGGTTCCAAACTATTCCGAGGAAAGCAATGATCTCACAGAAGGACAATATAAAACAGACATTTGAATCTTTGTTCAGTATGTTCATGTGTTCCCTATTCAAGATTCCCACATACACACATTGTTTCACTTTCCCTGAACAGCTCCACTGAATTTCTGTGGAAGTCTGTCCATCAGCCAAGCCAAATCTGGCAAATCCACCTTCCCGAACACCAACATATCGACCGGAGAAACACAGACGCAGACTGACTCAAAATCATTTTACATTAATCATTATTTATGTCCCCTGTTGCTGCGTAAATGTGTTGTAAGAAACATTTGTTTGGGAGAGTGTAGCTGCTAATGAGTATTTAGGAATTTCACTACGTCCTCGCTAAATCTAAACACAGCACTGTCTGAATTTGGACTGTTACACTTTTATCCATCTGGCTTTGAAATGAAGCCAGTGAGGATAAAGAGCTCAGTTTCTGTGGGAGTTTAAGGGACTGGGTATTAAGACATGAAGTCAGAACTGATGTGTATTTATCTCTTTTGTCTCCTGTCCTCCAGTTTCTGTCCAGTATCTGCTGTGCAGCATTTTGCCATTGACCTGAGTCTTTACTGCTGTGGTTGTGTATTAACCACATAATTAACCTCAAAATTAATCAAAAACAGTCCACTGGTAATTAAGCTTCCAATTTGTATTTTGAAAATGTCAGAAATGGAGTCAGCATCCTCATTAACCCTCAAAACCACTCCTATATAGTCCAAATCAGACAGACAGTTACTGAAATATTGTCCATATAGGTGATGAATAATGCCAATTATGCAAAATGCCCAAGTTAGCATCTGTCAGTTTCTAAATTCTGGGGTACATTTCTAACACAAAACTCCGGGGTACTTAACATTTCTGGGTTTACGTTGCTGTCAAGTCAACTATCATGATTTCTAAGTCTCACTACAATGATTGAATGTTTGGTATATCCCGATAACAACAGAATTTCTGTATAAATAAATACATTTAGATGAGATGTTGGATGCAGAGACGAGGCTCAGAGAGAACTCACCTGTGGACCAGAAGCACCTGGGCTCCCTGGGAGTCCTCGAGCTCCCGGTCCTCCAGGCAAACCCTGTAAAGGACACAGGCAGTGTAAAGAGAGTATTTCAGTGTGTTATGGACATGTTACAGAGCGTGGTGTTTGAGTTTCTGTCCTACCTTCACACCGATGGGGCCTCTTCTTCCATCTGGACCCTGCACACAAAACAGACGTAATTAATAACGTATTATTCACAGTGATTATATTCACAGCTGAGTCACATAAAGGTTACAGCAGTTTCCCAAACTTATTTTCTTATTTTTCACTTTTTAAACATGACAAACCATGGTGACTTAATTTACATTGAGACGAGCAAATTTGTGCCTAAATGAACATTCCTGAGCAGTTTTACAGCTGTTTCTGCATCACGTCACATTTTCTGCAACTTTTTCAAAACAAAAAAACATTAAACTTATAATTAAATTAATAATCATCTTAAGTATGCAAGTTTTTCACTTTATAAATGAGACCTGATGAATGCTTTGAAGCAGAGTAACTGTAAAAGGCAGTCTCACTGTTTTTATTTCTTCTCATCAGTAAAAAAACAGTACACATTTTAAATACTTTATAAATGAGACAAAATTAGTGCATTTAGCAGGAAGAAGAGATTCTACAAAGATATTTGTGACCCAAATAAAATCTGTGAATAAACGGGATTGAGCGTGAAAACTTTCTCATGTGACTGGATTAAATGAACCGAGTGTCTGTCAGCACTCAATGGACACATTAAAGTTTCTCTCTTGTCACTTTACTGGCTGTTTGGGGTGAATATATACAGACAACAAAAGCAGTCAGAAAAATATGGTACTGTCTAGGGCTGTGTATCTGTAGCTGTGTAAGAACCTGGTGTTCACGACACACAACAGTTCCCACCATTAGGGAGAACTTGGCGACAGTAGCAAGGTTTAGACTAGTTGAAAAAGTCTAAACGTAAACAGTCATAAGTACAAAAGCATAAAGAAGTAAATCTACAGTGACCTGAAATGCAGTGATATGAAAGTATAAAGTAGCATAAATTGGAAATACTTAATAAAACCACTGGGTATAAATATATCATAGGACAAGATGGAGGACAGAAATCTCACCCTGTTTCCAGGGATTCCAGGATCTCCTTTCTGACCGTCCTCTCCGGGTATACCCTGTTTATTTAAACACGTTGTGATAAAGGATTAATACACTTATAAAACACAATAAAATTAAGATTTTTTAAAAGCATAAAACCCTTAACCCTGAGTTCAGATCTGTAGACTGTTGGAGCTTCTGGGAGTAGATTTCTAAAGTAAATTTGGGTTCTGAGTATGTTTCCTTTGAACAAAAACCTGAATTGTACCTGGTAATGTAATCAGGTTACATCCTGATGTATTGCTGTTAGCAAAGTTTCCAGTCTGAAGCCAAATTTTTACCATCCACTGTTTAGATCTTGGTGCTTTTTAACTCGTCTGGATCTTATCATAGAAACAAACTGAGCACACGTTAGCCTTAGTATATTAGCATGAATTCCTCGTTTGTTATTGTTTTGATGTGAATGTTTCTTACCGGTAAACCTGGGTTTCCGGGGTCTCCTTTGGCTCCGGGGGTCCTGTTATCCGTGCCTGGTTCACCCTGTCAGACAAAACAAAGTCCTAACTGCCTGAAACTTACTTTAAACTTTTCTGGACTGGGGAGGCTCTTTGATTCTCTCTTAAAATGAAATTCACTTCAGTCTAAAAAACTGTTGAATAAAAGCAACAATCCAGCCATTTCCCCACGTAAATGGTTTCTGTATCCTGTATAAATATAGAAAACGTAGATACTGTATCCTCAACTTGACGTGCCTCTGCAGGGTTGCTATATTGCAGAGGTCAGATCAGCAAGTTAACAGTACTGAAAGATTCAGACTGCGCTAACTCGACTGTAACTCGCTTCATTGTGAAACAATTTTTAATGAAATTGGTTCGTTACAAATGTGAGGAACTGAACTTGAACGTAAAAGACGTGTCTTGTTTTGTCTATTGCATATTTACTATTGCTTTCATAAAGCAAAAGTATTTCTTGTCGATATCTCAATGAAATAATCAATAAAATACTCGATTACTTAATTACTCCATAACTTCAGTCCTAGTCAGGAGAGTCAGTGTCATTTAAATCCAATCATCGATTGTCAAATAAAGTTTTTGAATTCAATTGAATTTCCTGCCAAGTGCAACTAAGCAATAAAAGCAAAACCAGTTCTGTTAAGAGTTTATTGTCGTCTCGTCTTTCCATCAAATTAACAGAAAAGTATCGATTGCGGTATTTGATCCAAGTGACTTGGACTGAAGATGTTTGTTCCAGTGAACACAATCATTGTCTTTGTGAGTGGGAAGCCAGTGAGGGATCAGGGCTACTCCTGGTGGGTCAGGGTGTGTACACAGAAGGGGGGTGGGATCTGGGAGGTAGAAGACATGAACAAAAGAAATAAAACGACAGACAGAAAGACAGAGACCCTCTTGGGACTCACCGGATCTCCTCTCAGTCCTCGCTGTCCTTTCAGCCCCGCCTCTCCTCTTATACCCGGGATACCCTGAGGACGACAGTTCAACCCATCAGTCAAACAGCCTGAGGTCAGAGGTCAACACCTCCAAGCTCAACTGATCGATGTGGGTAGATAAACAGCTAAAATATGTAACAACAACAGTAGGAACTATGTAAAAAACAGAGTATCTACAGGGTTTTTAGATTTTTTACCGGGTTTCCTGGGTCTCCTCTGTCTCCTCGGGCTCCATCTAGTCCCGTAAGTCCCTGCAAACCAAACCAGAAACAATACTCAGTACCAAAAATAGCATTATATAATATTATTTCACTAGTAGCCTACTGAGGTTTTTTATTGCCGGTTTTGACTCCTGCCACCCTGTCCTCTGGCTGTCTCGGAGGTTGTGTTCACTGGGAGGCTGCTGAGCCCCGTTCAGTTGCACAGTTAGCTTACAGCAGCTACATTAGCAGTTAGCTAACGGCAGCTGTTAGCAGAGTTGTGGCAGAGCAGCCGGAGGACGTCATAGGGAAAACCAGACACTATTCTCTCCATGAAATATGATCCAATTTCACCTAAATCACTGATAAAGTTTTGTTATTGTTCTTTGAACGAAAACTGCTAATAAAATGTTTTTGATGTTCATACCTGCTCTCCGTCGACTCCGTCCAGTCCGTCTTCTCCGTTCTCACCCTGCAGCGTTGGAGGAAAATCAGCTGTCAGATCTCAACACTGCTGTCCTCGATAAGTGTTTGCCAAACATCGGTCTGTAAATCACTTTTTTGCTTTGCTTATCTGACTTTTGATTACATTCTAGTCCTGAAGAACTCACCCTGTTGCCGGAGACCCCTCGGTTGCCCTGCAGACACAAACAGATGTTAATGATGTCACCAAGTGCTCTTTTATATACATATAATATATATATATTTATACATAATTATATAATATATACTATAATGCTCATATCAGAAACCTTTCTCAGCCTCACAAGACAAAATTTAATGCCAACTTTTTTGTCTGAAACACACGAGTAGCAGACAACGGAAGACTTCACCACAATGTTCGTCACAGTGAAGAAAGTGATTGTATCCTAATCTCCTGCCTAGTTTACTATATCTGAGTTTTAAAAATGATATAGCAGCATTTTCATACCAATAAACAAAAGCTGAAATCTGTGTCTACATCTTTAGTAAGTAGCGAATCATTCTGTAAGACGGAGAGCGTTTTTAAAAACATTGAAAATAGACGTCTCAGCAAAGTTATATGCTAACCACACAACTTCCACATGTCGCCGTCCATCTCCAGTATCAGTGTTCTTCTGAATCCGTCCCTCCAGGAAGTCGTGATCACGACATAAACGCAACAATTCTGTGCCACCTTGCAATCTTGTCCAACAGCTGCAACCTTTCATCAAATTTGACCATTCGCTGCAGATTCCTGCATAAAAAAGTTGAGCCACATGTTGCCAAACTCACTTCATTGTTTCTAGTTCTAGTAATTAAATAAATGTCGCCGATGTTGTTGTAAAGGTTGCTTAATATATCTCCAAATTGTTGATGTCGCAATCATCGTCGTGTTGTGCGCCAACGTGCTCAACTAACGAGAGGTTACATAAAGTGGTGAAAAGTGAAAAGATGCCTTATAATCAGGCATTTTCGGCTGCAACAATCCCCCAAAAAACCTTCTGATACTGTCTCGATCCAAACTGTACCTTCTGTCCTCTGTATCCAGAACAGCCCTGGATGCCCTGAGGTCCACTTGGTCCAGGAGGTCCTCGCTCACCCTGCAACAACCAAACAGAGCAGTGACTGAAGGTACAAACGGGTGTAACAGCAATATCTTCTGGACGTGTAGTAAACACTGTACGGATATAATCCGAATGAAGAACCACTTACGACGCCTCCCTCCTCTCCCTGGAAGCCTGGATGACCCTTCTGTCCAGGAAGACCCTGTTCATAAAAACACAAACAACAAAATCAGTGGACGTAACATTAACAGAAACTCTTTCAAAAACTAAGAAAAGCCACCAACTTTTTTCTGTCTACCTTACAGTGTCTACTGTGATACTCAAGATTCCCAAGAGACTAACCTTCGAACAAGCTGTTGCAAGGGTCTGCTTGCTCTCAGCCCTAACCAGCCTTCTTCCTTTGGACACATTTTCCCCAAATGTTCTTATCATCAAGTTCTAATTTAAATGTGTATTCCAGTCACCTTTATCCCTGGTTTGCCTGGAAGGCCACGGATGCCTTCATGTCCCGAACATTTGCATGTGACGTTGCAGCACTCCCTATTTGACACTGTGTCCTGCAGAGGAGAAAACAATGAACATAAACGTGTACAACAAGTAACTGTTTAAAAATAACGATGGCAGTTGGTGAAGAGGTTAGCATAGATTAAGGCTGGCTGTTTTTGTTCATAATTCAAAAATTCGTCCCAATTTTCACAGCGTAATTATCGGGGGGGTATAGATTTACAGATACATGTTGGAAATTGGTTTTAGCATTATAGATGCAACTACATCGGTACTCAGACCCCTGGATCGATCTCGATGTACCATAAACCAGTTAATGGTTATGAATCAGTTGACTGAAGCTCTGTTGCTAACAGCGTCTCGACTCTTGTGAAAGGTAAAAGGTCAACGATTTACAGTGCAGCTCAAATCTAAAATCTAAAGTTTGGAAGACATTTGGTTTCTATAAGAAGGAAGGAAAGTTGGACAAAAGTCTGTCCATTTGTAAGATCTGTCGGACAGCAATTAAGTCCAGTGGTAGTACAAAAGATTTTAACACTCACTTGGTGCCATCACCAATAAGAGAGCAAGATTTATATGCAAAGATATGTGGCCCATTTGTGTGGTAAGAGCAAATTCAACAACAAACTAGACTGGACAGACCACACTGGACTGGACGGACCACACTGGACTGGACGGACCACACTGAGGAAAGGAGCAGGCTGTTCTTTCTAAGGAGGCTCAGGTCCTTCAACATGTGCACTCAGCTACTATGGATGTTCTACCAGTAGTGTCAATCTGTAGTGGCCAGGGTCATCTTCTTTGCTGTGGTACGCTGGGGAGGAGGCATCGGGACTATAACTCATATGGGTGTAGGGTCAAAGGAGACCTTTAAAACATGGGGTTAATGGGACTTATTGTGATGGGTCACTTCCTTTGACCGTAACCTGATGCAGCTTGATGACGCGCAATGTCCAGGTGATAAAACTCTCTGCCTCTTACCTCTCTTCGCCTCTTCTCTCACTCCTCACTCACCTCACTCGCCCACACCGGGTGATACGTTTTGGACCTTGACCCGGCCCGCCGATGACGTACAACGCACGACAAAGGATTATAGCCCAGTATAAGAGCTTTTTCCTGCAATCCCTGGCCAGCGTACCGCTAACGGGAGTCAAGAGCTGTAGCTTTAAACAGAAAGTCTGCCAGCTGACTTTACTGGAGCAACGCGTCGTTAACTCAGCAGAACAACGAGTGAAACGCCTTTTCCTCTTGCTACCTGTACCAGCAGACATTGCACAGCAGAGACTGTTTGGACTTCCGAACCACAACTCTGATCAGCCTGGCTCACAGGAACGCCAGCTGATCCATGCAGCTCACCTTCCTTCATTGGACTGTCGGTAACGTACTGGGCATAAACAGATAACTTCATAGAGTTAACGGCTAAACAACGACTGTTTAATTACTGTTAAAGTAACGTGTTTTATTCAGGTTATTGTATTGTGATGTCGATTTGATTAACTCAGGTTACTGTAGTAACTTTAGTCTCTGAGACAGTGCTAAGGTGATGTTAGTTTAATGTTCTGCTTCAGACTGTCTTTGCATGCAACTAACTCCCTTTTAACGGCACTGTTAATCTAAGATCACACACACACATATTCTGCCTAAACCTCAGCACACACAAGGAGAGGGATTCAAACCCTCCCGCTCCTCCATACTCTTTGTCTCTCACCAACATGTGTTTCATACTCAGCTGAAACAAAGGACAAAAGGGCGCGCACACACACACACACACACACACACACACACACACACCTTTTCCTCTAACTTTTTTCCTATAAGTTAGATTGTATATAATGTATTTTCCTCTGTTTGCTTTTATTATTCCTTTAATAAATGCTTGTTTTTACATATGCTGGCCTATTTAATTTCGTACAAGAGTGAGTGATACCAACCTCTTCTATGCAGAACTCCTAAGCCTTCCACTGTAGCTATTAATAATTTATTAATTAAAATTATTAATCTGATTTCTGAATTAATAGTTTAGTGTATTTTTATGAGACTGATCAATCAATCATTGGCTATTGTTTCCCTTATTTAAGGGTGGTGCTCAGAGGATCATTAATATTAATTAAAGTCATTTTCTATTATCTGTTGATAATTATAAACTTTGATAACCAAAATGAATTGATTAAACTGATACAGTTCAACAACTGTAACACCCTACAAAGTAGTCCCCTACACGGGGGATCAATAAAGGTCGATCTTATCTTAAATGTCTTATCCCAGAGGTTCCAAACCTGGGGGTCGGGACCCCCACTGGGTGTCAACAAAGCTTCATGGAGGATCGCAAAGTCTTCTTAATGCTATGGTCTAAAAAATATACATAGTAGACCTATATCTCAGCATTTCAAACACTGAATTTGTATGATTGATGTATATATACAGATAACACAGACAGATAATTGTTAAGTTCTAGTTCCTAAAAATATCAGGAAAACTAATCTCTGTTCAATATCTTGTTTTACACAAATTTCATGCGGTTATTGTATTCACTGTTCAGTTGTTCTCTACTGTTATTGCTATGTATTATAAAATATATATAAAGTATGTCACTTTGTCATCAATTTAGTTAATGATAAAAAGGGATCCCTTAAGGAAAAAGGTTGGGAACCACCATCTTATCCTATGGTATAGTCTTTATGTTATCGTTTCCTGAGTGTACTATGTGTTTGTACAATGTACTATTATTGATCATTTTTTGGAATTAATTCAAACATAATAAAAGACACACCTCAAGGAAAAACCTATCGTAAAGTACTCCATAAACCAACAGGTGACGCAACGATAGGTTCACACTTCAATCGAACAGTCTGAACTCATGCAATGATCAGCCTACAGCAGAGCTGTGGAGAAGGATCCAGGAAGCAGTTTGATGAAGCCAGGAGGAGCCTATGACGAATTTCACTGACTACCAGCGGTAGAACAGGGAGAAACATTTGACCTGGACGTGGACAACACGCCTTATGAGTTAGTTTCCCGAAGAAGGGCCGAGGGCCTTCTGGTTGTGAGGTAACATAAATGACTTACAATCTGTTGGAGGATGACGTTGCCAATGCTTGGCATGCCGATGTGGATGGGGAGCTGGTAGCCAAATCCTCTGCCAAACTCCACCATCTGCAGCTCGGCGGGCTTCCTCGCTCCCTCCAGAGCCACCGTCAGCAGAGCGCTGACCCCTGCAGAGAACAGGCAAAACCACAGATTGCAGGTTTACAGTTGTAGAGGAGGTGTGTAGGATTTAGTGGCATCTAGTGGTCAAATGTCAGATTGCAACTAACTGAACACCGTTGGCTTTGGGTGTTTTGGGGCGACTCCAATAAAGAAATGAATTAGAGGAAGATTAATTAATATGTATTAGAACAGTAGAAACAAGTGCTATTGTTTTTACCAGACTGTCGCAGCAGCTCTGATTCATGCTCCAGTTTCATCACGTCTTCGTCGAGTCCGTCCGAGAAGATCAACGCCACCTGATGGACGAGGTTAGTCACATGTTAGACACATACATATTTAATCAGGATGCTTTTTGTCCAGATTTTGCATGACGATAGCATGTTTATAGTCATTCCACCACTTAATAATCTTGATAATCCAGCAACTATCTGCCATAAGATTTAGACGTCGGGAGGGGTGGGTCTGCAGGGGTAGCAGTTAGGGCCGCCAACAAATATTTTCGTTATCTTATATATATAATATATATATATATATATTATATATATATATAAAATATATTATTTCCCTAGATCTAACCCTGGTCCATGGTCCCCAAAACATGAATCTTAATACTCCAATACTTTTACACATCCACTAAACAAATGATATTCCCAGCTGTACTTATAATAATTGCTGGTTTGTTATATAAACAGAGTGTGAACGACTGCAGATAATTTGGCTCTACGTAAAACCCTGGGAATGTCTGGATCTTAAGTTATCAGAGAAACAAGCTGAGCTAACGTTAGCATTAGCTCAGCTCGCAGCCCCTCTGGGGTGCCCTTTTCTGTCCAACAGCGTAGGAGAAGCAGTGATTTTTAAGGTGGAACTGCTTTATTCAGTGTTTTTAGCGGTTTTAATCAATTTGTTTTGGAAAGAATGTTTACTGTCTGGATGCAACGATCCACATTTTTTCACTTCCGATCCGATCCCGATACCTGAATTTGGATATCGGCCGATACCGATCCTATTCCGATACCAGAGCTCTGTTTGCTTTAATATTATTATCATCATCATTATTGTTGATTTTATATAAGGCTGAAATAAACTCCTCTCAACAGGCAAGTATGATATGTACGTATGTATGCATGTATGTCCCAAAAGGCAACTTGAGGTAAGTATAAGGTTTCACGTTGTCTACCTGGAGTTTACCTTGTTTTTGGAATGACTCCAGAAGTGATTCCTGACAGCTCGCCTAAAAAATCCTTGTGCTGTTTCGTGTGGTGCTTTTTTTAAATGTTTGATTGCGTTCGAAGTGTTGTACGACGCGAGGGAGCTGAATTACGGCTTTGCAAACATTGCATTTGGCTGTCTTGCTCTGCGGTGTTTCCAGTGTACAGTATTTCCACACAGCGGACATGTTGGCTAGCCACAATGCTGCTCAAGGCTATCCTGCTAGCTGGCTGCAAACTGCGGAATGAATTTCCTGAGCGGGGGCGTGTCTCATAACTCTGTGTCTCATTGACTGGGAGGCAGGAATCGCCTGTGGAGTCATTTCAGCAGACAACGTTAAAGCGCAGACATGGCTCATGGATATCGGAAATCTGCGCAGGTTGGATTGGGAAATTCCGATACGTGAATTACGCTGGTATCGGTCCCGATAACGATACTGGATCGGACCCATCCCTAGTTTATTGACATTAAATGTTAGGCTCATACCACCTTTATAAACCAGATTAAAGTGTAACGCAAGGCGAATATTCACTTGACTTGTTTTGGGAACGCAACATAAGATAATTTCATGATTAATAAATGGAAGCTGTCACGCTCACCTTGACACCAGCTCCAGATTTGGTCTTGAACCTCTCCTTGAAGTAGTTCAGCAGGGCAGTGTTGAAGGCGGTAGATTCTGGAATCCGTAGCGTCAGGACTTTTTGCACGACTGCCTCGTTGTAGGGTACAAAGTCTGTATCATACAATATACGTCCTCCATCATCTACTACATGGAAGGAGATGTTGGTCCCGACAGAAAGGAAATCTTTTCCGTCACTTGCCAAGAGGCAGCACAGGCCTTTTACCTCCGAAATGGAATGGACAATGTCTGGCAGGAAGGTCTGGAGGTTGCTGATGCGCATCAGCATCTCACTAGCTCTGGTTCTTTGGGAAAAATCAAATCCTATGGCGATATCAATGCTGCAGGCTGGAGCAAAGGGAAATAAGTTTTTACTTTTGGCATTCATAGACATAGAGGAACGTGGCATGAAAGAAGGCAAGACAGACACTGAGGCAAACTCACACTTTTCAACTCACCAGGGGAATCTTGGATGGGTTCGCACATGGTGTCCACTAACTTTTTCTTGATATTTGCCAACTCGTTGAAGTTTCGCACGTTGAACAGCCTCTCAGGGGTGCCAGTAATCTGCAAGAGCTCCAGGTCATGGACGTCTCCAACGCCAATGGCAAACACCTCAACTCCCAGATCCCTGATATATTGACCTGCGTCCTCCACATCATCCTGAGAATCACCATCTGTGATCAATATCAGATTCTTGGAGATTCCACTACGGCTGCCCTTTGATGTATAAAAGTACTCCTTAACTTCATTCAAGGCTTGTCCGATGTGAGTGTTTCCACCTTCGTATTCCAATTTCTTGATCTGTGCGCTCACATCCTCCCTACTGAAGTACTCGTTGAGGTAAAACTCCCTCCGAGTATGAACGCTGAACTGTGCAACTCCAACATGCACATACTCTTTACTGACTTCAAAGCTGTTCACTACATCTCTGGTGAAGTTTTTCATGATCTCGTGATTGTCGTTGGACAATTGGTTGATGCTGCTAGAATAATCAAGCAGAAAAACCATGTCGGCCTTCTCTTTCTTGCAAACTGCCAAAGCAAAGCAAGAAAAAGATAATTGTCCACATTACTAAGAAACATGAAATTATGACTGTATAGCATAATTTATATTTGGCCATATCACACTCTTAACTGCCTAATTTCCTGTGGTTTGAGGTCTCCCTATACTCTCTTATTCACAAACATTAAAGTCCAGGTGAAATTAAAAATGTAATTTTAACCCTTTCAGATCCTCAGTTATATTATTCCCCTATTTAACAATTTATGCCAAAAAAACTTTTATATCAGAATCCGATAATTTTGTCTTCCTGTTAAACAAAATGTGACGCATGGTTACGTCAACATGAACTAACTGATTTCAACCAATAATATTATGACATTCAACCACCACACAGCTAGCTAACAGCATGGCTGGCTAGCAGAGCTCACTGATTACTGTACAAACACACAACTTTATCAGAGATTTGGGTGAAACTGGATTATATTTTATGGAGAGAATATTGTCTGGTTTTCTCTCTGACGTCCCCCGGCTAACTGCTAATGTAGCTGCTGTTAGCTAGTGGCTAATGTAGCTGCCATTAGCTAACGGCTAATGTTGCTGCCATTAGCTAACTGCTAATGTAGCTGCTGTTTGCTAACTGCTAATGTCGCTGCCGTTAGCAACCGAACTGGGCTCAGCAGCCTCCCAGTAAACACAACCTGGTGATTTACAGAGTTTCCAAATGGACTTGTTGCTAAAAGAAGCTAACTGTCGCTATAAGGAATGTTAGATGCCATAAAAACCTCAGTACTTTATTTCCTGTGGTCAAAATGTCGTCAGTCAGCATCAGTCCCGGACTGGACGTGTTGTTCACTGGGAGCCTCCACTCCCAGTGGAGTCACCTAGTGGGTCTGCTACAGCTGCTGGACTGGGGGGAAGTTACACACTGGCTACTGGCTACCATGACAAGCCCCTCGGTACTTACATAAATGTCAGCACTCTGATTTCTGTTTCACCAGGACTTTAATCAAGTGGGACGCACAAGTGTGACCAACACCTGATTAACAAATGCTGTTTACACATTTCTATGTTGTATCAAGTCCTGCCATGCAAAAAGGGCCTGTTTTTCGCATAATGCACTAGTTTGTTTCAACAAATTACTTTAAAGTAAGTTTAGTAGTTCACTATACCTAGAAAGAAATATGTTCATATTCTTCCAACTGACAACATTTTATATTTGCCTTCTTTCCATCTGTAACTGGCCCGTATATGGACCAACTGGAATTATTGGCTTTGTTTTGGTCTTGGACTGGTTTAAGCTTTTTTACTTTGTCCTAGATCTCTTTACAGAATAACATTATGTCTATAGTACTGTGAACCATCCACACACCTACCTGGCTTAGTGGTATTGCAGAGGATAGAAGAAATATTCTTGTACAGAGTTTCTAGGGCCTTGAAATTGTCCACATAGAAAACTTTAGATGGGTCGTCACCAGCCATGGTCAACAATTCTTTATATGTTGCATTTTTCACTCCAATACTGATCACAGTGATTCCGTTGTTTCGCAGTGCATCAGAGTTGGGCTCCAGTTGGTATGGGTCGGTGGCTTCCCCGTCTGTGATCACCATGAGAATCTGAGGCACCTTGAGTGCTTTCCGGCCACCATGCTGCTCATTAAAGAAGTCTAATGAGTACTTCAAGGCTTTGCTGGTGTAGGTGTCTTCGTTTAGTAGCTCTAGTTCTTTTATTTGTGCAAGAACTTTTTGTTTGGAGTCATGGTCCTTAAGAGTAAAAACAGATTCGACCCTGGTGGAGTAACGAATGACCCCAAAGCGAGTCAGGTCCTTGCCAACTGTGGTTTGGTTTACTATTGACTCCATAAACGTCTGCATGCTTTTGAAATTTGTTTCACCTATGCTTTTAGACCCGTCCACCAGAAAAATAATGTCTGCTTTTTCTGTCTTCTTGCATTCTGAATAAAAAGATATGAAGAGAGTAGTTAATAGGGAAAGTGAAAAACTGATTAGTTATCTCATGAAAAAAATCCATTAAAAATGACAAGATAACATCAACTAAACTGCTAAGCACGTCCTAGACGTATCTCTGTACAAAACACAAAGACTGATTTAGATGTTGGATCTTGTTAGCTGGCAAGCTAGTCACTGATCCATCCTGTGGTCAGTAAGGTAACTGCTAAAGCCACAAAGACTCTTCTGTGCATTTCTATTTCACCAGTTACATAGCATTTGTGGCGAAATGTTAATTGATGTAAACAGAACCAACTGTACAGTCAGATTAAGAGGCCGATAGGTCCTTCAAACTTACTATGTTTTGTTTTTATCTGTTTATGTTTTCAGCTTTATTCATAATTGAATGATGTCTGATTGTATTTGTTTTTACATTCCTGAGCCAAATTTAGTTCAAATCAACTGGATTCAAGAGATTTTGACTGTGGCGCCAACTGCATCCAGATACGTCTTGTTTTTCATTCATTTTTGTCAGCTTTACTGCTGAAACATGTTTTACCTATGACAGAAATAGTCCACAGGCATTGTAAATCAAAGAGTTGGGTCTGGATTAAAGAAAAACTAATTTTGAGATGATTCATCCAGCCAGATCAGCGGGACCAGCCCACCACAGAGGGTACCGTCACCCAAAGAGGATAGGAGCCATGCTGGCCAAGTTTGGACTCAAGGCTGCTACTGTATAATGTCTGGACAAAATGGGACTCTAACAACGGGAAATCAGACACTGCTGTGCCCACATCTTTACAGAGACTATCAGCATGGGATCCTTGACTGTGTTCAGAGCCGACAGAGTGTAGGACGAGAGGAGACGGACTGTTTACATCAATGATTTTTGGTGCTCGAATGAGGTCAAAGTGGATGGACACAATTTTATGTGAAGATGAAACCATATTATCATCATTATCTTGTTGCTGCTGTTTACATTCAACTAGATCTAAATTCAAAAAGGTGCACTGGGTGCATACAGTACGTGTATGTGTATAAATAACTGTATATATTAGTTTAAAACTGTTCTCGTACTGCTCTTACCTCTTTTTGGGTCGCAGAGCTTTAAGGCCACTTTCTTCTCCAAGTCTTTCAACCCATCAAAGTTGCTCTCAGTAAAAACCCTCTCTGAGGAATCAGTGATCTCTACCAGCTGGGAGGTGATGGCTTTCCCCACTCCAATGGCGTAGACCAACACTCCCTTAGCTCTCAGAGCCGCAGCGGGGCCTATAACACTGTCTTGGGACTCACCGTCTGTTATTACTATCAGCCACTGCCTCAGATTAGAACGCCCTCCGCTGGTTTCCTTGAAATACTTCGACACCTCAGTAATGGCATTTCCAATGTGCGTGTTTTGATTGATTTGCTGCATGTTATCAATGGCTTTCCACATTTCTTCCTTGCTGTGGTATTGGTTGAGGGGGAACTCCAGTTTGGCGTTGCTGCTGAACTGCATGACACCTACATGCAACTCATTTTGCCCAACGGCGGACATGCTGATAACAGATTTCATGAAGTTTTTCATTTTCTGGTAGTCTGCGTCACTGATGCTCGCAGAGCTGTCAGTTAAGAAAAATACGTCACCCAGTATGTCTTTGCAAACTGTGGACACAGAAAACAGAAATGTTAACGTGGTGTTCCCGTTTTACCCCTTAGTCATTGGATACTGACTATGTTTACATGCACACTCATTTTCCACTGCTATTCCAAATCTGATAATATTCTCCATAGGGATAATCCTAATTAGGTAATTTAATTAGATTTTTTTTTTTTTTTAAACCTGCTGTTAAATCAGGTATTTCGGGCCACAACAATACCAAAAAGAGCCTGCGAAATCCTGAATACATGGGCAAATTGATAGCCTTTCAGTTATCATGTCAGTTTTCCGAAAAGTAACAATATGTAGCATGCATAGCTAATGCATGTAGTGACTATGACATAAGCTTTTAAATAAGAGGAATGCAAATGGAGTTAAAAGTCCAGTCTAATTCCTTACTGTCTGGAGAACAGATGTGTCTGAAGATATCATTCTTGATTGACTTCAGGGCATCAAAATTCTGAACAAAGAAAGTCCTTGTTTGGTCGCCGGCAATCTCTTGCAGCTGAGTCTGGTTTGCTTTACTCACTCCGACGGCATAGATAATGACACCTTGATCCCTCAAATCTGCAGCAGGAGCTGTTACTTCATCCTTGGATTCCCCATCGGTAACGACAATCAGGTACTTTGGGACTTTCCGATCCCGAGCTTCCTCAAAGTGGGTTGCCATGGATGACAGCGCCTTTCCAGTCTTGGTGTCACCTCCTTTGTGTTCAATACTCTTTATAGCTTCCTTCAGTTTATCAGCATCTGAGTAGGTTTTCAGGTCGAATTCCTTCGTTGGCAAATCAGCATATTTCACAAGGCCCATGCGGATATGTCCTGGCCCAATACGGAAAATACTAATGAACTCAATGATGAACGTCTGCATGTCAGCAAAGTCTTGGTTCTCAATGCTTCCTGAGTCGTCCATCAAAAAGAAGAAGTCTGCTTCATCCTTCTGATCACATGCTGGAGAGAAAGACTACAAGGAGTTAGTTCTTTTCACACAGTTAAAAAAAGTAAGGTTTAACATTAACATTAAAACAAAAAAGGCTAAACTTAAAGAACGGCTACTGAATAGGAAACAAGTAAAGTTTTATATCCCCACAGCACATACATATAAATACATATATGTACAAATATGTGTATATATATATATATAAATATAACTTGGAAATATTTGCGTAATTGATGACAATAAAAACAACAGAGGTTCAAACCTTCTTTGACGTCTTCTTTTCTTGTATCTAGTGCTTCTTCAATGATGTTAGTGCACAGGGTTTTCTGCAGGTTCTCCGTGATGGTTTTCAGATCTTTGAAACTGTCCACGCTATAAACATGCTTATGGAAGGGGTAGGACACCATCTTCTCTAGTTCAGCCTTGTTTGCATTTTCGATTCCTACAGCGTAAAGTGTGACACCAGCCCGACGGAGAATGGCTGCCGCTTCTGTCACACTATCCTGGGATTCACCATCGGTGATCACTACTGCCACCTGCTGGACATCCTTCCTGTAGCCTTTCTGCACTGTGAAGATTTCTTTCCGAGTGAAGTTTAGGGCAGCTCCAGTGTTTGTCTCACCTCCCTGGTAAGGCAGGATATTCAGGAACTGCAGGATTTCGTTCTTGTCATTGAACGTGTTAAGGTAGATGTGTGCTGTGGGCATGCTACTGTACGTAACAACACCCACTCGGACTCTTTTCTGATTGACATCCAGGCTGCTCACAATCGAGTGCAGGAAAGTGCGCACCATCTGGAAGTTGGTGGTCCCAATGCTTGCCGACTCATCAACGATGAACACAACGTCTGCCAGTTTGGCTCCTTTGCAATCTGTGAAAGAAGTGTAATCAGTTAACTTGTACTGGACAAAAAGGACCTGTATCAGAAAAGATCCAATGGTATGCAAGTTTATGGATCTACATATCATATCATATCATACATCATATCAAAATGAAATCTGTCTGTCCTGTCTGTCATCTTCTGCATACTGTCTGTATGTTTAACAAATACAAATCATCACCACCCTGGGCATTAAAGTATTTGTGTTCATTTATTCCATTGTTGAGCCATCTGCTACTTAATCTTTCAAATAATTTTTAAAATGAAATATATTACTGGAATACTCATGTAATGCAGTCTTTAAAATCTGCTGTGTGAGCTATTTCTTGTGACTGTCTAATTTGCGATCTACTTTACATGGAACATTTTTTAAACATCATTAAACAGTATAATATTCTATAATATTTTTAAAATGTAGTGCAAGTCAGAATGTATTTAATAGAACTGTCTAACTGCTAACTGAAAAATGATAAAACAATAAATACAACTACTGGTTAGGTAAGTAAGTGCCCAAAGGATGTTTCTCACCTTCAGCAACATTGGTCTCCAGTTTCTCCGTCTTGATGCTATCTTTTAAAAGAGTTACTCTGGGAGAATCATATGCGTACCCAACACTGGCAAATGAGCGTAGAAAATCCATTGATGCACCTGCGCTCATTGCAGCAAGGGTTGTCCCTTCTGATTTGATTGCATAAGCCTCCTTAAACACACTATCATCTGAGTCTTTTCCACTCACAACGACCAAGAACTGTCGGTAGCCTTTTTGTGCCCGGCCTCCCGCCCCACTGGTGAAAAATTGAGCTTTGGCATAGTCCAGAGCGGCCCCCAGGTTACGTGGTCGATTGGGTTGTGGGCGCAGGCGGAAACGTTTGACAGCAGCCAGGGTCTTCGGTCTATTTGGATGAGCATTGAGAAGGAATTCAACATTGGTTTGTTGGCCATACTGAGCCAAACCGATACGGTTGGTGGACGATCCAACATCCAGATCAGTGATCAATTTGGTAAGGTCAGACTTAAAATCAGCAAATTGTCCTTGAGCTATGCCACTGTCCACCAAGAAGAAAACATCTGCAAACTTTTCTGCCAAAGCTGAAAGAAAACCAAAAAAAAAAACTTATTACATTTTATTACAATACATTACAATCAAAACAAAGAGGTTGTTGATTCATTATCTAAGTTTTTGTACACCCACAATTTCTTTCTGGCTTAACCCTGCCAACCCTCAGATTCATAGCTATTTTATCATGGTTAGTGAGGGTACAAAGAGTTGAGCTTAAGTGACCTTTCAACTTGAAAGAAACATACAAATGTTTGTATTTTCAGGTTTTGATCAGCAGAATATAGGGATGTGACAAGAACCGACACTTCGTACACAAGTTCTGAAAATGTGACGGTACTTGTTACTCTACACTACTGTAGGTACTATGGATGGATGATGGGCTCAGATTTGGCCATGTCCGCCTGAAAGGGCTGCACCACCCGGGCGGGAACGCCGAGGTTCAGGGAAAATCTGATCACATCACAGATGACAAAGAAAGGCTTTAAAACATGACTAATTTATTGTAAGATCCATATTAAAATGGAACAATCAATTAAAGAGTGGAAAGCAAACAGGCAGCAGAAAAGACAAAAACACTGAGTAGTTTCTTTTTATAAATTACTTGATGGCTACATCTTGTGTATGTTGAAGCACATGGGAGTTATTGTTGTACTGTGGTATCAAATTCGGTGTCAAGAATCATGGAATTTTACTAGTGTTGGTATTAAATCTCTGGTATCGTCACATCTCTACCAAAAGCTGCACACAAAGTCTTGTTTTTCAGGTTTCACACCACTGCTTATGGTTACAAGCAGATGAAACACCTTCAGAATGTATGCATCATTATGCCCATTTGTACAACTCATATCCCTCTAAGATGGAAGGATTTTTGTCCTACTGTCAGTGGATGATTGGGAACCAGTAGACTTTTGTCTTTGGATGTGTTCACACAAGAAAATAAAGCAAACTGACACCTTACCTATGCATATACATTTTCTTACTTGTCAAAAAGACTACTACAGTTAACAAACCCAGAATGATCTCAATACAACAGACCAAAACCTTATTCATAGTTTTCAGTCACTGAGCCCTGGACGGCAACATATTCCAATATCGCAGCCTACACTAGACACACTGTAGTACCGCAGGCATGCAAATTATCCATTAATTTCAAGCCATGAATATTTATATCACCTCTAATATAAAGATACTATAAGAAGAAAAACAAAGATACGCAAATGAACTAATCAAGTTTTGGGAACTTGGGATCCACATACAGAACCTCAGAACTCCAGTTCCAGAGATGTTTACATCCCTCCTCTTACACTGCTACCAGAATGAAAGCATACAAAAGTACAGACTCAGGATGTCCCGGCCCAATCGAAAAAGATCGGTGTCAGCACTGATCAAGGCTTTTTTTTGGGAGAGTGGTAGAGACCCGACCCAACCGTGCTCCACACTCCACTGCAAGGGGAACAAAAGCCCCGCAAACAAAAAGGCAATAAGAGTAATTAATAAATGTAATCTGTGCAAAAGATGAAGTGACCACGGAAATAAACACTCAACAGAAAACAGACAGTTCATTCAGGTAACTCAGGTAAAAGTTGCACCAAAGCACCAAACACTGGAGAGAGAAACTTCTTCCAGACAACGATAAGACGAAACAGATGACAGAAATGACTCCTCGTCATTTAGTGCGTCTGATCACACAACAACCACCCGCCATTTTGGCTAAAAAAACTTTTGTTTACTCTGTGTAGAAAATTCCTACTTAAGTTAGTTGGCAGGTATCAGAAGTCTTGTTTTTCCTTCCAAGTGGGCGTTCCAATAAGGGTATGACGTCACGTGAAAACTAGGAATTGGACGCTTTTGTACATTTCAAAAGATAGATTTTGGCTAGTTATTTTTCTTGGATAGTTATTTAAGTATTTATTGCAAAAAGAATAAATGCACAACTATATATATGTTTCCTCCAATACTTTGCCTCACCTTGCCTCTGATCCTCCATGGAGACACAAACACGTTGCAGCAGACTGTCCGTCTTGCTCTGGAGATCCTGGAAGCTATCGATGGAGAACACAAAGCGTCCTGGAGGCCGGTTGGCGATGGATTCAAGCCCCATCTGGTTGCGTGTTCGTACCCCGATGCCAAACACTAGGACTCCGTTCTTCCTCAGGTTCTGTGCTGGCACTACAACATCATCCGTGGACACTCCATCTGTGATGACAATAGCGATCTGAGGTACTCGTTTGTTGGCTCGGCTCCCTCCCTCTGGGGTGAAGTACTTCTCCAGGAGGTAGGTGATGGCCTGGCCCGTTTTTTTGCCTTCTCCTCGGTAGGGGATTCTTTCCACTGCAGCCAGCAGGGATTTCTTTTCTGTGTAATCCTTAAGCAGGAACTCCGGGTAAGTTTGATCACTGTCCTGAGCCAAGCCGATTTGAACTTTATTAGTGCCGATGTCTAGGGCTTTTATCATTTTGTTGAGGAGACTCTGAACATCCCGAAAGCTATCAGAGCCGATGGAGCCATCGACTAAGAAGACGATGTCGGCCAAGGTGGCATTTTCACATGCTGGACAGGGGAAGAATAAGGTCACCATTGCATGCGCAAAAATAGGTATTGTGAGAAAATATTACAAAGTCAGAGAGTAACATTAAAGACTAATAAAATATTATTGAAAAACTTCACTCGTTGTTTCGTAGCCAAAGGAAATTACTTTTTTCTTTAAAATGGTTACAGTACGGTACTTTATTGTTCCAGGATTCTTTATAAAGAAAACCACAGAAATACCAAGAATGTACTGTTCCACTCCGTTCACCTGTTCTCTGAGCAGTGATGCCATAGGAACACGCTGCTATGATGAGGCTGAATAGAAGACTTGTTCTTTCCTTCATGTTGGGACGGGTCCTGAGTTTCTCTCCTCCTAGAATACAAATATAACAGGAGTTAGTTCGGATCTTTTTTCTACACAAACTTAATTCAAAGCAGTGAGTCTAAATATTTTGCAATTTGTGGGTTAAAATGTCTCAACTCGCCCTCCACTGTTTTAAATCGCCCTGAACCTTGTGAGTCCAATGCTGGCATAGAGCGGACAGTTTGGGACGACTTTACGTCAGAGATTTCTATAAAAACTGCATTAACGCCGCCTAATCAGAAGAGTGAGGTGGGAACTGTACATTATTACAGAGACCACTGTAAATAATTTAATAAGGAGTAGGTCCTAGACCTGCACACAAATACAAAAGATGAACATAACGTTAGACTTAATGCGGTTACTCAGGGTATTTGTTGTGACACATTTGTTTTGGATTGCTAGTTTAAGATTTTGTTTATGTATAATAATATATATAGTTCATTTTCAAGTTCACTAAAACTTACGTTGCAGTACTGCAGGGGGTACCTAAATTTCTTTCCTAAAATAAGGATACTATAAGTTTCATAAATAAAATTAAAATTTAAAGTTTATTAATTTATATTTCATATTCAATATTTCTGTTGAAGAGTTTGATTACTGCAGTTTCCTCCCTGTCACCGACAATGACAGAGATCCTCTGAGAAGCTCATGTTTCTCATTAAATCATACGTAACTCATCAAAAAGATGCAGTTCAATGCAATTTCAGTGCCATCTTAGTGTTATTGAATGATGATGTCATATCTCTTTTATTGCCTCTATTTTATCTTTATATTCATATTTCTCTATGTTCAATGTAATGCACCAATATACCAAGGCAAATTCCTTGAATGTTAAAATCTACTTGGCAATGACACTGATTCTGACAAATAATTTAATGCCATAAATTCACTGATGGATCCTTTTTTTGAAATTAAGCATTTATGGGTTTTTCTAATCAAATTGCTGTATAATATAGCCTTTTTTTCCCTGCCGAAATGTTTTACATGTAATTATATTGAAAAAACAATTTAAATAATAGACTAGAAACATCACAAACTGGCATAACGGAACAGGAGGACTCTGAAGCGTGTGATACCCAGTACATCCTACCTCCACGACCACAGCATCCGGTACCTCCAACCTCCACAACCATAGCACCCAGTATCTCCAACCTCCACAACCACCGCCCCATGCACCTCCACAACCACAGCACCCAGTACCTCCTACCTCCACAACCACAGCACCCAGTACCTCCAACCTCCACGACCACAGCATCCGTTACCTTCAACCTCCACAACCACAGTTCCCAGTATCTCCAACCTCCACAACCCTGAGCACTTCCACAACCACAGCACCCAGTACCTCCAACTTCCTCAACCACAGCCCCCAGTACCTCCTACCTCCACAACCACAGCACCCAGTACATCCAACCTCCACAACCACAGCTCCGAGTACCTCCAACCTCCACAACCACAGCACCCAGTACCTCCAACCTCCACAACCACAGCACCCAGTACCTCCAACCACCACAACCACAGCACTGAGTACATCCAGCCTCCATAAGCACAGTTCCCAGTACCTCCAGCCTCCTCAACCACAGCTCCCATTACCTCAAACCTCCACAACCACAGCTCCCAGTACCTCCTACCTCCACAACCACAGCACCCAGTACCTCCAACTTCCACAACCACAGCTCCCAGTACCTCCAACATCCACAACCACAGCACCCAGTACCTCCAATTTCCACAAACACAGCACCGAGTACCTCCAACCTCCACAACCACAGCACCGAGTACCTCCTACCTCAACAACCACAGCTCCCAGTATCTCCACCCTCCACAACCACAGCACCCAGCACCCCCTTTTATATTTTCATTTTATTTTATTGTATTTAATTCTCATTCCCTGTGCTGCTGTAACACATGTGGAGATCAATAAAGGAATATCTTATCTTATAAACTAATTTGCTCAAAATTCATCCAAATCTCTGGTTTTACGCAAACTTCCTGCAGTTACTGAGTTCAGTGTTTGGGTTCATTGTTCAGTTTATCAGCTGTTCTCTGCTGTTATTGTTATTGTTGATAATATAAAACATCTATAAAACCTGTCAGTTTACTCAGAAATAGATTAAAGAAAAAGGTTTGGAACAGCTGCTCTACATGAGAGAGAGTCAGTGTGTTCTGAACAAACACATATTATCATAAAAAACTAAACAGAAACTGATGAAAAACAAAGTTAACTGTGGTACAGAGCTGTGTTCAGACTGTCTGTGGCTCTCAGCTCCAAACCCACTGCTTCCCATAGTCTGCCATACACTAATGACACCTGACAGGCATTATTAATCAGTTCTCCTAAAGATCTTCACACTGAACTGCTAAAATCCACATTTATGTACACGGGTAAAGAGACACTTACAGATCTGCTGCTGCATTTGATCCCTCCGCTCCCAAACTCAGGAGTCCCGACTGTCGCGCAGGGAGCTGCAGTTTCTGGAGGATAATGAAGAGAGGGAGGAGTGAGGAGGGAGGGTAGGGCTCCTCCTCCAACTCCCCCCACACTCCGCAAATTTCAAAGGAACCTAATAATCAGTGCAGCTATTTCTGAGCTCCAGAGAGGAGCCCCTAGGGGCTTTCATTTTTCAACAACTGAACAACTAAATCATATTTTAGTTTAATTTTATTGAAAGTTCCAGTGTGTAACATTGAGAAGGATCTATTGTTAGAAATGTAATATAATATTCACAGCTATGTTTTCATTAGTGTATAATCACCTGAATATGGATGCTTACAACGGAACATTTACTGACTTATTACTGTTGCTGTCCAATTGTGACAAATTATGTTACTCAATGTAATTTTTTCATATTAACGTTCTAATGTGAGGCTATTATGAAGCTAGCTTTGCTGTATTATGTTCTAGCTAACGTCGACTTATATACTCATCTTTTTATTGTTATTTTGGATGTAGAAACAAACTGAAACGGGTCTAAAGAACCACTGATTGAAGAGTTAACACCGTGGACTAAATAACTCACCGAGTCAACAGTTTGTTGTTTCTGTGAGTTAGCTGGAACTAAAAGCTGCTGGTTTAATGAACTTAAAGCCGTTTATTGTTCTGACTGTGTGAGATGAACATTACTGACTGTAGTTCAGCCATCTCTCTGCACCAGAGCTCAACCTCTACCCGGCAGAATACCACCAGACTTCTGGCATTCGTACGGTATTTTCATGTTAATGTTTTAATGGTAAAAACTTAAAATATGGAATAAAACTCCAACTAATAGTAGAAAAACGACTGCTGTATTCATGACAGTAAAATTCTGGCAACTACACTTCTTTACCGTAAAAACACTTTGTTATTTTTTTTTACTTTATTTCAACAAAGATTTTACTTTAAACCATCATATTTTGTTACAAAACCTTTATTTTATGTGGCATTTGTAAAGTTTTTTCATTTTAATTTCCTTTCAGGATAAAAACTGGAACAAAACTTAACTGTAAAACTAACAGAACTAATATAATTTTATTGTGACAGCATATATAAGTTCTGCTGTATTTATTACAGTAAGACTACCTTCATGGAGAAGAATTCATGCTGAATCATCATGTTTTTATTTGACCTTCATCATCTTGTAATGTGGATTCTTAGCAGCTGAATCTTACAGTGTCTCTCAGTAACAGTCAAATTGATCCGCTATGACAAAAATGTCCATTTTCTGCCAATTACTGGGCGTTGTTGGCAGCGTCCGCCGCTCTCTGAGAGGAGTTCAGTCAGCCTCCATTCTTCCTCCTTCTTCCTCCCTCTTCGCCAAAAGTGATAAATAAAAGGATTTCGGACTCTAACAGGATCCACATAGAAACCACTTTCAGGAGTGTTTTCTGGATTTTATCATCATCGTCAGCAGTGAATCTTTTCGAACTCAAAGGACAAAGAAAAGTAAAGGCAGTGACCTACCTGCTCCCTGGGAACCTTCTGGTCCTCTGATTGGCTCACTGGGTTCGTCAGGACCGCAGGTGGACCAGGTGAACAGTTCTGGACTTGTGGTCGGGGTCGGGATTGTAGATCACATGACATGCTGGAGCCTCCTGTGGGCGTACACATTAACATTGCTGTGTCAAAATTAATTTCTCCTTAGGGGGATCAATAAAGGAATTATCTTAAATCCTAATCTCATTAAACGTTCAGTTTAATGAGATTAGGATTTAAGATAATTAATATCTTAATATAATAATTAATACAAATCATTGTAATATGACATCACAATATCAGTAACAACATAAATATTCTCAAAGTGTCAGATACTTATTGAAAACCCTGATCAATATACTAATATGAGAAGATTAGAATACAAACTAACACAGACACCAGTGAGGACGTTTACATCTCAAATAAAGCTCTCAAAGATAATTAAAATATGGCTTAAAGTGCTTAAAGTGCAGAGAAAAGTGCTAAATCAACACATTACACAGTTCAGTGTGTAACAATTATACAAACCAACATATTACACAGCACTGGATTAAGTTTAAAGCTTTAAAATATCAAGCTAATGGTTGTAGCATTAGTGAATGGCGTCTGCCATTGTGCTAGTTAGCATCTTCAGCTAGCGCTTAGCATGGTAACGACGATCGCTCACCGATGCGTTTCCTTCGTGAGGGAGACGTCAGGTCTCTCCGACTGCACTCTCACAGGTCCAGGGCTCCACACTGGATCATTACAATCAGTTTTTAATCAGTTTTCAATCAGTTTTTATCATTATCAGTTTTTAATCAGTTTTTAATCAGTTTCAACCACTTTTATTACTTTATCTCCACGAGGTAGGAACCGTTGTCAGCGCGGGGTTTCCTCTCCGTTCTTCCAGGAGCTCGAGGTGAAGTGAACTCGGCTCCTGATTGGCTGACAGCGCGTCTCCTTCAAAATAAACTTCCTATTTATTTTCTTTTTAATATAAATTTTTTAACCTTTAACACAAATACTATATTAATAATATTTACTTATTTATTATATTTTGTTAAAATTACCACCTTACATATTTTAGTTGTAGAAAATTTGCAGGCTACGTTGGCTAACCAGCGCTGGCACAATCCCGCCTAATGGTGCGTTCCATTTAACTCGTAAGTTCGAAGCTGCAACTGGGAAAGACCTCGTACGCGACTTCATAAGTACAACAGGTCAGAAAACCAAGTACTAGCCAGGTTAGCTATTAGCTCATACAAACATGTCCACAGACAGAAGTTGGACAGTAATGTGTGTAAGATAAGAAACAAAGCCACAGTTTCTATAGCTGTTAGCATGTAGCACAAGTTAGCTGCACTACCTAATGTAGCTAGCTAAATAATGCCGGTATGGTCACCCCCCCCCCAACCATCCAACGTTAGCTTTGCCTCGAGACGCCTGTAGCTTTCTTTCACCGCACCAATCCTCACTGAAAAAACCTGCGATTTAACGTCGGCTTTCTCACCAGTGAAGAAACACTCAGCAGAATATTTCTTAACTTTTAACATTAAATAAAGTCGGCACTCAAAAAGCAAGTTGAACTAATGTAACTCTGGATGATACAAGTGAGACATGTGAAGCTCAACACAAACACTGAAACTAATCCAGTTTGTTAAAAGGTACATAATATATATATGTATGTACTGTAGAGATATTAACATCCATGGTTCCTCTCAGTGTGACTGCAAAATGTACTTAAAGTCTCAACAGTACTTGTTATGTTGTTATATAATTTGAATATTATTCCGGATGCATTGACGCTGGTTGAAGGGGAGTTCAGCTTTACTACATTACACACTGTTAGTGTACATGGTAGTTTAATATATATATATATAATTAATTACATGTATTTCATGTAAAATCAGAATCTGTGCAGTAACTGTAGTTTACAGACAGATGTAGTGGAGAATATGGAAGCCCATTTCTGCCAATGTGATTTTTAATCATTATAATAAGAATAATCTCATAATATTGATTTAGTATTTCAAATAAAGACTTTGTGATAATCAATATGGTGAGAAGGTTTCTGTACTTTACAGACGTAATGAATACTGAACTGATTCCACTGTAATAAACTTTGTATCTCTGCTGCAGACAGACGCCACTGTAAGGTTTAAAGATGCTAATTTGGCGCCACCTTGTGTCAGGAACATAGTACTGCGTGGTTCTGCTGCAGGCTGATAATGAAACACGCACAGGAGCAGAAGACAAACTGTTGTGTTTTTGGGATCAATCAATAATGTTTTTTCAGAGTGAAGGTTTGTGTTCACATCTTCAAAGTTTAAATCTTAATGAATAAAATCTATTTATATTTTTAGATGAATCAGAGATATCGGCCTACTGTGTCTATATTTTGGTTGGGAACCACCGCTTTAACCACGTTTTTAACTAAGGGCTACAAAAAAATAACTTTTCAACATTATCCTTAATATTTAAGATTAAATGATGCTATTACTGATGAAGGGGTAACCAATCGGACACAGAGAGTAGACTACATCTTATATATAGCATTTTAAAATAGTTTATTTTTAGTTATCGCATGAAAGAATAAACGATATTTGGAAGATTTATAAATTCTATGTCTGCAAACGTTTTAGAGTTTTCGGAGCGTCAGATAATCTGTATAATGACAGACAGCTTCGGTCTCATCTGAAATATGAATTTTAATCAGAAACTAGTACAGAAAGAAAAAGGAAAATCATGAAGTCGAATGAAATGAAGTTTGTTGCTACAGAAATGGTAACAAATCCAGACTGTGTGCATTTCTGTTGTATTTGTCCAGCAGCTCAATAAAATGAAAACAAAAATAGCACCTGATTTAATCAAAAATCTAAAATATCCTGGAAGACGCTCAAGTCTCCTCAGGTTCAGTAAAAGATCGAAAAACAACCTGCAGAGAGTTCTCGAGTGAAGAAAAGTCAAAATAAAACAATCTCCAGTGGGTACGGAAGCCCTGGAAGGAGAGTGAATTTTTTTTTATTTCTATAAAAACTGGTTAAAAAAATTACAATTTAAAAGTAAAAGTAAAATATGTATATAAAGAAATTTACCTGGGAAAAAAAAATCCTGAAAGACACTGAAGGTCGTGTTGTGCATCAGGTCCAGTTAAAGAGTAAAAGGTGGAATCAACGTCCAACAGAAAGTTCTCGATGAAAAACAAAATAGAACAATCTCCAAGCTGTATGGAAGCCCTGAAGGGAAACTGAAATTAAATTTATGTTTTGGTGATTTTTTGGACATGTTTTTTTGGACAAAAAAGTAAACTTAGAAATATCATATTAAAAATATATGTTTTCAGGTTTTCAGGGCTTCTGTAGATTTCTCTAAGTGAAGGTGCTCTTTCTTTTGGTAATCTCCAGTTTTGGAACAGTTTAAACTTTGATGTGTTTTCAGTTTAAATGTCTCAGAACTGAACTGTTTCTCCTTGAAGATGAACATGTTTTTTAAAGATTATTCCTGATTTAATGCAAAGCTGCACTTTCCTTCATCCAGTCCACACTCGTCCTCCTCATTGACTCATCTTCACACACAGTTTCTCGCAATCCGACTTCGTCTTGAAGCGGTTTCCGTTGCCGCCACAGCCGCCGTACCAGAAGCGAGCGCATTTCCCGAGATCGTTGTTGAAGGACCACATTATGGTGTAGTTCTGGCAGCCGCCGGTGTCCTGGCTGAGCAAACAGACGTCTGGATGAAGACAGGAAAGGGATTAAGTGACCACACTGGGTAATTATGAGATATTTTCTTGTAATCAATAGAACTTAATTATGAGATAAGGTCTGCAGTTTGTTCTACGACGTAAAATACACCAGTGAATCCCCGACCTTTGGATTTTGAATCTTTTACATGTCTTCAAGGACAGTTGCTAACAAGTGGCTAAACGTCATGGAAATGAAACGTCAGCAGACTGATCTCCAGTCACCTAAACAGCCTCATTGTGTTTGTACTCTTACAACCTGTAGATTTAATAATTAACAACTTGATAGTGGTGTTGACGTTGAAGTCATGTGACCGTGAAGAAAAATCACCAGTTATTGTTCAAGACAAATTTAGCGTCAGAGTAAAGAGATCTACTAGAAGGTCTGAAATGTTTTTTATCACTTTTTTCTTTCCAAATTCCTCGCAGGACACAAACTCCACCCCTCTGGCCTCAGACCAACCATGACGTGTGTTTACAGTGTGTTGGTATAAAGTGGTGTGTGGGCTACCGTTGAGGTTGGGTCCTGAGTCTGAACTCTGGCCGTCCACTGGGGTCAAAGGCTTGATGACATCCAGCTGTACAGTCTGAGTCTTTCCTCCTGCTTGCTCCCGAAACTTCTCCTGGACTTCATCCCTCTGGATTTCCCCTTCCAGCTCTGCCGACCCCTCACTGGACACACAGCAGCAGCCAAAATTCACTGATTCACAATAACTTCAAAGGCTATATATGAGATTTAAAACATTAATATATCAGCTAACAGCTATTCTCTGTGTGAAGATACAGAGTCACATGGTGTCTCTCTCCCTCTGCCTGTGCTGTATCGCAGCCTCTCTGTGGTTTGTTTCCATAGCCGGTCTGCTCCGACTGAAACTGCTGTTTTTATCATCTACGTTGGTGAATTAAGGATTTATTTCCACCAAACCAGAGTTGGTGATTGTTGGAAACACTAACTAATTAACAGAGTCTTAGTTTGTTTCTGTCCCTTTGTTTTGGTCTAAGATGCTGATGCTCCAGTGCAGGTGAATTTCGTATGAATAACCTTTAAAAGAACCGTACGAGGGCATTTGCGTGTTTTGAGTCTTCTTAAAGCAGCACTAACCAATATTTTGATCAAAAACGTGTAGTGTCAAAAGATTTTGTGTCCTTGAGCAAGATACTGAATCCCAAACAGCCTCCTTAAACCATTCCTAAATATCCTCATTGCAGTCAGTAAAATACTCAGAAAAACGCTCTGGAGTCAGTTTAATTGGAGTCTACACACCTACAAAACAATGAGTGAGGAACGGGGACCAGACTAACCTTTCTGTAAACATATTCTATATATTGTACAGGAGCTCCTCGTTTGTCAGATCACAGATCAAGTTTTTTATTTCAATTGTCACTTTTGACAAATCAGAAACATATTCTATTGTTTGTATCTGCACAACTGTAGGACCGGATCTAAAGGTTTTTATTATTCCAAATGGTTGATCTCTCTGTGATCTCCATGACTGACCTACTTACATCAGTGGTTCCCAACCTGGGGGTCGGGACTCCCACTAGGGGTCACCAAAGCTTCAAGGGGGGTTGCAAGGTCTACTGGATTTTAAGTATGCTAGAAAGTTTAAAAAATATACTCAGTAGGTCTATATCTCCACTTTTCATTCATTGCTTTGAAGGAAACTAAATGATTTTTTAAAGTTTGGACTACACTGTAAAACCAGATCAGGTTATTTAACTCAGGAAATTGTTGAAACAAAAAATTAACTCATTTTGTAAGTTAAAAAAAACTATTTATTTATTAGTTTTAAGTGACGCTGACTTAATTTTGAATTCTTCATTTGTATTGTGAAATCTTTCTGAATTATTTAATATCTAAGCTTTGATACCCTGAATACAAGCTGGATTAGAACAATGTCCAAATATCAGGCAGAAGAAAACACTGAACTGGTACAATAGTTAAATCTCTGATTTTACACGAACTTCCCGCAGTTATTGTGTTCGATGTGTTCATTGCACAGTTCTGCTGACTCTGCACACAAAAAAGGGTTGCTGACCTGTAATCTGTTGTTGTGGTAATTTAGCTTTCTTCTCCAGAATAACATAATTGTTCGAGATTTCGAAGCAAAAAAATTCAGTGTGAACCAGTTACCCGTGTATGAATATCCCTTCATCCTCTAAGTCCGTCAGCTGGTTGCAGGTCTGTTTTAATGAAGGCGGAGGATATGTGTTCATTCCCTCTGAAATAAGCAGAGAACAGAGGGAAACAATTTGAACTTCACGATATCTGGAGATTCAAAGGCAACGTTAGAAACAGTTAATGACAAATTGTTAATTTTAATTCAATTTAGAACCCGGTCTCACTGTTGAGGGTGGTGAGGAAGACCCTGAAGAAGCGTTGGGCGTAGCCCTGCTCGTCAGCCTTCAGATTGCTGATGTGGATCAGGTGCTGCTGTACAGGTGGACTGGCCAGCTCCTCCACCTGGGTCCGGTTGTAGCGCTCGCCGACTGTCACCACAAACAGCGCCACCCCCTCACACTTGGCCTTCTGGGAGATGTAGTGCAGCCTGGCTCGGTCTTGGTAAGACGTCTGGGTTCCCACCACGGTCAGCACTGCCCTCCTCCTCCGGGGCTGGCTGGCCTTCAGGAGCACATCCTTCAGGGTGAACTCTAGCGTATGTCCCAGCGCAGAGGAGCCGCCCTGCTGACGCATGTTCTGGATCAGGTGCCTCTTCATCAGGTTGTGGTTCTGGTAGGTCTGCAAGCCGAACTCCACCTTAGCAGCCTGGGTACCGCTCTGCTGGACTACAGCCACCCGGGCCTTCTTGCCGGCCTTGCGGGGCTGCGGGCTCACAGCCAACTGCTCCACCACAGAACCCAACAGCTGCTGAGCACCGGAGTACTCATCAGCCTGCACCTCCCTGGAGCTGTCCACCACCATGACCAGGTCCAAGTCGACCTCCTGAGGCTGAACCGGTTCCTGGATGAAGGTGCACTGCTCTGAAGGCCTACACGGGTCTGAAGAAACCACAAAGAAAATATGTGACTGCACATGTCTGTCTTTGAGTATATTATAGGCTAAAAGATGCTGAACCTGCATTGACAGCATTTGTTACAACTATTAGGAACTCCTGATCCAAGACAACATGCAAGGCATTGTCTGTCTCTCTGGTGGAAGTCACTGAGGTAGTAAACAACCCACAAGACTCTTATGTGGTTGGGCCGATTTGGTAGACGGCGACTTTTAAATGTCTCATGGAGTTTGGGTGCATTTCCTACAGACTGTCAGACATGGGTGGTAGTTCCCACTTCTAACCTCTAATTATTGGGGTATCACACCTCTGAGCTTCTCTGTTAAAGAAATGTACAATTTTGTCATAAATATTAAAATAGGGTTACATTACGACTGGGGATGTTTAAGATTGAACAAAAAGCTTGAGAGAGAAGTTTAAACTCTGTTTGCTTTCTCACCTCTCCAATTGGCAGATGTGGTTGTTTTGGAAAGCTGCAGAAAACAATTTTCATTGTAATCCATTTAAACAGTTATCAACGTTGCCTGAATAGCTCCCCTGGTAGAGCCGACGTCCTACATACAAAGACTGAGTCCTTGCTGCATCAGCCATGGGTTGGAATCCTATCTGTGTCATCTCCTCTCCCCCTTTCCTGTCTATCTTCAGCTGTCCTATCTAATTTTGTTTAGTTTGTGTTACATAAAAAGTTAAAATAACTAATCTCGCACATTTGCTAACAGGACCTACAAAAGCCAAGCATGCAAAATGAAAACTGAAGCACATTTTTCATATTACTAATGATTTATAATAAATCCAAGCAAGAGTCTCAGTGCTTACCGTAACAGATTGCACAGTTCTTCACCTTCCTCAGGTCAGTCATGTCTGTCCCCAGCACCATAAAGATGGAGTTTCCTGTGTCGTCAACCTGACAATAAATTATTGTCATTATTTACCAAAACTGGGCCCCGTTCTGAACTCTGCACAGAAACAAAACCTACCTCCAATGCTCGACTAACAGCCGGGGCGTTACGCAGAGAGATGACCGCCGGGACGATGTTCAGGGCCCGGTACTCCATCATGGCGGTAACGATGTTGGAACTGTCCTGTGACGGCCCGTTGGAGAAAAAGACAGCCACCTTTCTCATCCTGACTCCTGCACGAACACGTTTGAAGACGTTCTGACCCACGAAGCGCATGGCGGCTCCCAGTTGGCGTCGGTTGGAGGTCCTCTCCAGGGCGATGTTCTTCACGGATTCAATCAGCTTCTTCTTGCGGCGGTAGTCCTGGAAGCGGATCAGCAGATTGGTGTGGGCGCTGTATCCCACCACGGCGACCCGGGCGCCCGTCGGGCAGTTGCTCTCAGCGATCGTGATGTCCTCCAGCAGGTAGAGGAGGGCAGAGCGTTGCCTCTCAAAGACTGCCGGGGTCACGTCCTCGGACATGTCCAGACCGAACACCAGCTCGGTGGGATACGCTGGGCACTCCGATTGACCTGCAGGAGTTATTGTTGAGAAAAACACAAAAACAAAACTGGAACGTCCAAACTTTATATTTCAGCATTTCAATCATTTTTTTAAATGTTTTCTTTCACGCCTTAAAATCAAGAAGGTCTCGCGGCCTTTGAAGCTTAGGCCACGCCT